AAAAATGAAGTGGTACACAACATAAAATGGATAAATAGTGGATTTATATATGTTAAAGATTTCTATGATGAAAATGGAACCTTCTATAATGAAAACTATATAAAAAACAAACTTGTTAACAAAAGAAATTGGATGATAGAATACATTCTTATAAAAGCCTTATAACAAATGTGATGAATAAGTATGATACTACAAAAGTAAAATACACAAACATAAAATATAGGAAAACTTTCCTTTTAGGAAATGATAAATGGATTAAATTAGAAGAGATGAAAACAAATATGCTATATGATATATTGATAAAAAGTAAACAAGAACGAAATGTTTTAGAAAAACATTGGAGTAATATCTTTAGCATTCCTCATGATAAAACGTTTTATGATAAAATATATTCCTTGAAAATAACAAACATGAAATACAAAAAGTATGCTGAATTCAACTTTAAATTACTTCACAACATTTTAGCATGTGGAAGTGAGATATGTAAATGGAACTCTAATATTAACCAAAATTGTTCAAAATGTAATATAATTCAAAATGCAAAACATCTTATTTTTGAATGTAAGCTAGTAGAAACACTATGGAAGGATGTGGAAAAAATATTGAAATGTAAAATACTCTGGAAACATTTTATTCTGGGTTTTTATTGCATGGAAAGTGATATTATAGCATTTAGAAATTTAATACTTACTATTATAGGTTACACAATATATTCAACATGGGTAAAATTGTCGGAAGAAAGGAATAAATATGAAAATGTCAACTTCAAATCAAAAATTGCATCCAATTTAAAGTTTTACGCAAACTGTGTAAATGAAAACGAAAAAGTAAATCATTATTTAGATCAATTTATTAAAAAATTTATATCATAAATATGTTGTTGTTTTTTGGTGAAGCTCTATATATTAAAATGTACTATGTATTTGTAGAAATTGCATGTATTTTTGAATGTATTTGTTTTGTAAATATGTTATGTTGAAATAAATGTAAATAAAAAAAAAAAAAAAAAATATATATATATATATCACACCTTGTAGCACCTAGTGGAACTTTAGCTGTGTCCGAGTTTATTTATATCACTCCCTGTAAAGAAGTCACTGGGAATCAATACTGTTAACTTGAACTCGCGCACTCGTGCTCCACTCGATTACGCTGGTTACCGAAAGAAACCATTTCGGTAACGAAATGTCGGATCCTCGAAGGTAAGATTTTTTCACTATTCCATGCGTTGTTGGCAGATTTTCCATGACTTTTTATAACAAATGTAAATCAGTATCATATGTCTAAGAAAATATACATGTTTGCGAACAAATAGTTCAGAAGACCACAGAATCGTCGATTTAATACCTCAATTAAGTTACGTAAACGGAACGAAGAATGGTTAAGATCTGCACTTCTAACTCATTCCGTTTGTGACATATGTAAAACGAAATAAATGTGAATCTTATAAATAATTCTAAAATGTACCTTTATGCAAATATCAGCCAGTAAAACAACCATATAATCACTTCGCCTGCCAAGAGTGCCACTACATATATGTAGCTGTAGCAAAGAAAATATGATTGGCTTGATTGTTTTGGATTCACTGTTGGCTATTGACTGTACAATAAAGTTGACCGGCTTACTTCCAAAGCATTTAAAAGACTAATGTTCTTCAACCATTAAAGGGTGATGTTATCAAGACATGGGTTACACGTTTAGGTAACTTAAGTGGGGTATTAAATCGATAATTCTGTTGTCTTCTGAACTAGCTATTTGTTCGCGAACGTGTAGATTTTCTTAAACATATGATATTGACACACGTTTTTCATAAAAATGTTGTGGGAATTCTGTCCACAACGCGTGAAATAAGGAAAAAGATAAATCGTACCTTCGAGGTTCTGACATTTTGTTACCGATACGGTTCGTTTCGGTAACCAGAGTAATCGGATGGAACACAAGTGTCACGGTTGCAATTTCTCCAAAAAAGGAGAGGGTGTTATAAAGACATTTGTTATTTGGAATCGTTTGGCTGTCAGTATGGTCAGTCAATGTCCGTCAGGTTTATGAGTATGTAACTAAAATAGGGATGCATTATGTGTATGGCTGGCCTGGTACAAGCACAGTCTCGAATTTGTTTATTTTTACTATTTTATTTATAAGTTTTAATGCTCCTCTGTGTTTGTAATGATTTTCATTTTGCTTTTGGCAATCGTAGAACAAGATGCCACTCGAGGTAATTCAATACATTTAAAAAATTACTAATTCCTTTCCTGTCCTCGAGTTTTGGCAATAAGTTCAAATGCTAGTGACATTGTTTAAGTCAGTGTTATACAAAAGTGCATGGACGCATAGTTTATTCCTTACACTTGTCAATCCATTCCAATGCTCTTTTGCAATGAGGGTGTGATTCCCCTCATATCTGTTTACGCCAGTGTTATACAAAAGTGCATGGACGCATAGTTTATTCCTTACACTTGTCAATCCATTCCAATGCTCTTTTGCAATGAGGGTGTGATTCCCCTCATATCTGTTTACGCCAGTGTTATACAAAAGTGCATGGACGCATAGTTTATTCCTTACACTTGTCAATCCATTCCAATGCTCTCTTGCAATGAGGGTGTGATTCCCCTCATATCTGTTTACGCCAGTGTTATACAAAAGTGCATGGACGCATAGTTTATTCCTTACACTTGTCAATCCATTCCAATGCTCTTTTGCAATGAGGGTGTGATTCCCCTCATATCTGTTTACGCCAGTGTTATACAAAAGTGCATGGACGCATAGTTTATTCCTTACACTTGTCAATCCATTCCAATGCTCTTTTGCAATGAGGGTGTGATTCCCCTCATATCTGTTTACGCCAGTGTTATACAAAAGTGCATGGACGCATAGTTTATTCCTTACACTTGTCAATCCATTCCAATGCTCTCTTGCAATGAGGGTGTGATTCCCCTCATATCTGTTTACGCCAGTGTTATACAAAAGTGCATGGACGCATAGTTTATTCCTTACACTTGTCAATCCATTCCAATGCTCTTTTGCAATGAGGGTGTGATTCCCCTCATATCTGTTTACGCCAGTGTTATACAAAAGTGCATGGACGCATAGTTTATTCCTTACACTTGTCAATCCATTCCAATGCTCTTTTGCAATGAGGGTGTGATTCCCCTCATATCTGTTTACGCCAGTGTTATACAAAAGTGCATGGACGCATAGTTTATTCCTTACACTTGTCAATCCATTCCAATGCTCTCTTGCAATGAGGGTGTGATTCCCCTCATATCTGTTTACGCCAGTGTTATACAAAAGTGCATGGACGCATAGTTTATTCCTTACACTTGTCAATCCATTCCAATGCTCTTTTGCAATGAGGGTGTGATTCCCCTCATATCTGTTTACGCCAGTGTTATACAAAAGTGCATGGACGCATAGTTTATTCCTTACACTTGTCAATCCATTCCAATGCTCTTTTGCAATGAGGGTGTGATTCCCCTCATATCTGTTTACGCCAGTGTTATACAAAAGTGCATGGACGCATAGTTTATTCCTTACACTTGTCAATCCATTCCAATGCTCTCTTGCAATGAGGGTGTGATTCCCCTCATATCTGTTTACGCCAGTGTTATACAAAAGTGCATGGACGCATAGTTTATTCCTTACACTTGTCAATCCATTCCAATGCTCTTTTGCAATGAGGGTGTGATTCCCCTCATATCTGTTTACGCCAGTGTTATACAAAAGTGCATGGACGCATAGTTTATTCCTTACACTTGTCAATCCATTCCAATGCTCTTTTGCAATGAGGGTGTGATTCCCCTCATATCTGTTTACGCCAGTGTTATACAAAAGTGCATGGACGCATAGTTTATTCCTTACACTTGTCAATCCATTCCAATGCTCTCTTGCAATGAGGGTGTGATTCCCCTCATATCTGTTTACGCCAGTGTTATACAAAAGTGCATGGACGCATAGTTTATTCCTTACACTTGTCAATCCATTCCAATGCTCTTTTGCAATGAGGGTGTGATTCCCCTCATATCTGATTACGCCAGTGTTATACAAAAGTGCATGGACGCATAGTTTATTCCTTACACTTGTCAATCCATTCCAATGCTCTTTTGCAATGAGGGTGTGATTCCCCTCATATCTGTTTACGCCAGTGTTATACAAAAGTGCATGGACGCATAGTTTATTCCTTACACTTGTCAATCCATTCCAATGCTCTCTTGCAATGAGGGTGTGATTCCCCTCATATCTGTTTACGCCAGTGTTATACAAAAGTGCATGGACGCATAGTTTATTCCTTACACTTGTCAATCCATTCCAATGCTCTTTTGCAATGAGGGTGTGATTCCCCTCATATCTGTTTACGCCAGTGTTATACAAAAGTGCATGGACGCATAGTTTATTCCTTACACTTGTCAATCCATTCCAATGCTCTTTTGCAATGAGGGTGTGATTCCCCTCATATCTGTTTACGCCAGTGTTATACAAAAGTGCATGGACGCATAGTTTATTCCTTACACTTGTCAATCCATTCCAATGCTCTTTTGCAATGAGGGTGTGATTCCCCTCATATCTGTTTACGCCAGTGTTATACAAAAGTGCATGGACGCATAGTTTATTCCTTACACTTGTCAATCCATTCCAATGCTCTTTTGCAATGAGGGTGTGATTCCCCTCATATCTGTTTACGCCAGTGTTATACAAAAGTGCATGGACGCATAGTTTATTCCTTACACTTGTCAATCCATTCCAATGCTCTTTTGCAATGAGGGTGTGATTCCCCTCATATCTGTTTACGCCAGTGTTATACAAAAGTGCATGGACGCATAGTTTATTCCTTACACTTGTCAATCCATTCCAATGCTCTTTTGCAATGAGGGTGTGATTCCCCTCATATCTGTTTACGCCAGTGTTATACAAAAGTGCATGGACGCATAGTTTATTCCTTACACTTGTCAATCCATTCCAATGCTCTTTTGCAATGAGGGTGTGATTCCCCTCATATCTGTTTACGCCAGTGTTATACAAAAGTGCATGGACGCATAGTTTATTCCTTACACTTGTCAATCCATTCCAATGCTCTTTTGTAATGAGGGTGTGAATCCCCTCCATACTGACGAGCAAGGCTTAGAGACTCAAGGTAATACGACAATGCTTCTGTTTGCTCCCCCATTAGCTGGTGAGTGATACCTATGTTCATCATTGATGTGGCAATATCTGGGTTGGGAGTGTTTTTGTGCATTAGTCTTTTCATTGCCAAACCTTCTTGATGATATTCAAGTGCTTTATTCAGATCTCCCATGTTGCCATACACATTGCCTATGTTGTTAAGTGAACTAGCAACATCTGGATGGGGACTGTCCTTGTGGATTAATCTTCTCATTGTAAGACTTTTCTGATGGCTTTCTAGTGCTTTAGTCAGATCTCCCATGTCAGTATACACAAGACCTATGTTGTCAAGCGAACTAGCAACATCTGGATGGGGACTGTCCTTGTAAATTAATCGTCTCAATGTAAGACTTTCTTGATGACCTGCTAGTGCTTTAGTCAGATCTCCCATGTTTCGATACACGAGAGCTATGTTGTCAAGTGAACCAGCAACATCTGGATGGGGACTGTCCTTGTGGATTAATCTTCTGATTGTAAGACATTCTTGATGACTTTCTAGTGCTTTTGTCAGATCTCCCATGTTTCTATACACGAGACCAATGTTGTCAAGTGAACCAGCAATCTCTGGATGGGGATTGTCCTTATGGATTAGTCTTTTGATTGCAAGACTATCTCTTTGACATTCCAGAGCTTTAGTCAGATCTCCCATTTTTCTATATGCAAGGCCTATGTTGTTAAGTGATCCATAGACCCCATTTTTATCATCGGTTTTTCTGATTATTTTCAGACTATCATTATGATGTAGCAGCGCATCTGAGTAGAATCCTTGTGACTGATATAGTAAACCTATTGCAGTGTGAGTAGAAGCTATTTCCCCCTCTTTCTCTCCCGTATCAAGGCTTTGAAGTTTTTGTAACTCTGTTTTATAAGCGTGTAGCGCCCTCTTGAAAAAGAAAATGTTCTTATATAAGTGGGCTTTCACTTTATTGCTTTCTTCAATGTATCTCTTGCTATATGCCCAGGTGCCACTAACATTCAGGTTTGTTTTGAGGAATTCACACCAAGGCATAAATGTATTAAAAAATCGTAGAATTGCTGTAAAACTTCTAACTGGCATTACTATTGCGTCATCATCAACTTGGTTGTCACTTGGTAAGAATGAAATGAATTCCTTTTGTTGCTTATACCTTCCATAGACCAAGTGTCTAAGGTTAATGACACTACAAACCATGATTTGTAGATCTTGTGTTGCCCCTTCAGTTAGAATACCATTCTCTCTCAATTCTTCCAATATATCTAGGGGCGCAAATGATTTGCAACCATGCATGAGCTTCAGAATGTTGATAGTGATTGTTGCAAATCTGTATATATCATGCTTGGTGCGCATTTTCTGAGTGAATGATTCTGGTGATAGAGGCTTTTCACTGTATTTCCTTAGGTCTTCCTCCAATATTCTTACTGCTCGTTCTCTTCCAACAGTGATGTCTGGATTAGTTTCAGATGGTGATGATAATATGAAATGTACTTTATCATTGTATTGCTCCCATAAAGCAAATTCTCCAGTTATGAGAGTTGATGTCATAAGAACATCACTAAGGTGATAACCCTCTTTAAGTGATTCGTCTGTGAACTGGAATTTACTCATCTCATCAATTGTCATGATAAGTTCAAGTTTGGGAGGTTTATTTGGATCTACTCTTGATTTCCTCCCAATGGGTGTCTTACTGGCATGAGGCAGAGTCCCGTCAAAAGCAACGCCTCCAGTGGTCACTTTGTCAAAGAAGTCATTGTCCTTCATGTCAGGTGGTAATTGCTTGTTAAAATCTGATAGAACGGGTATGTCCAAACAGTTTATCAAGGTTTCCCCAAGGTTGAGCACCTTCAAATGCATGTAATAAGCCATCATAAGCAGTTGAATTCTGATATGATCGACTGGTTTACCTAAAGGATCAAACAGTATTGCCCACTCAAGGTCTGAATAGGCAGTGACCTCTTTACGTGATATTGAACCAAGTGCTATGAATGCATACTTACAATCAGGATATCCTAAAACAGAAAAACAATCATTGATGATAGACTCATAGAAATCTAAAAGCTGTTGTGTTAGTCCATTATAAAAAACCTTGCTGTGTTTTATTGTGTTGTCTTCATCTTCATTTTTCATCTCTGTGGTCACATCATCAACTACCATGTATTTTTCGATGATGTCATTCACAGTGGTGTTGGAGTACTCTCGTATATTTTCAAGTGTGTCTGTGTACTTCTGTGTTGCGGCTTTTGTTGAGAGTTCACCGTGGTTTGCAGCCCTGCACTTCTTTACAAAGTTACTTTCCAAAACCTGGAGCTGTTCGTCAATGTGTTCCAAGCTGGGATGAAGACGTCTTTTCTTCATTCTAGGTTCCAAGTCATCTGCTAAATCTGGGTTTGAGTCATCAGTTTCTTTTCTAATCAATTTCTTAATTCGACACTTGGCTGCATTATATAATGCACAGGACCAAACGTAGTGTTCGTACCAGATATCAGAGGTCTCTGCTGATTTGATATACTCTTGTCCAAGTTGGCACATGAGGTCTGCCTGTTCTTTCAATTCAGTTTGTTGGTCGCATGCTTTTATTTTGCAACCAAGTTCATACATTTCTTTTGTAACCTCTGAAATATAAATATTCAATACTTATTGCTTACCCCCCCAATTGAAAAATAAAACTAATTACCAACTTATTACCAACTAATTTACAACTAATTATCAACAATTCTGCTGGCAATTGGAATTAAAGTTAAGCGTTAATTAAATCAATGATAATTATGGCCTAATTATCAGTAGCAAGTTCAACGTAAATTAACTTACAATAATGCTGATTTATGATTTTTAGTTGATAATTAAGATGAAATGTTTGAGGGTGATAGTAAGTGGTAAATTAAAACGTTTTTGTTCTGAAGTAGATTATTGGTTGATAGTTAACATATAGGATGGTTATAATGATAATTAGTTGTAAATTAGGCCCATGATTTAGAAATACAAACCCCCTAAATTTAATTTCAAGATGGTGGAAAAAGAAAACATGTGAGAGATATTTCTCTCATAAAATTGAGAATTACAACGTGAATGGTGCGTGTACTACCATGAAATTTGGTCAACATTATTATAAGGGTATGTAGAACATAAATACAATGTATGTTAAATCTTATTCACACTTCTGTCTGAAATGTTTATGAATTTAAAAATCTTTTTGAATCAGATCATATAATATTAATCCTAGAATGCAATTTAGGTACTAACATGGGTTACCTATATTTCATAAGTAATCCAAATGTGCTCTTCTAAATAGTGATTGTTAGATCAAAGACATTTCAAAGCATATTTTTGATTATATCTGTTACGTCCTTATTATGTAACATTATAGTCTAATGTTTGTGTTCTGATTTTAGTTGTTGATGGCAATAATGATGTTTTCACATGCTTTTCATGAATCTTAAAAATTTGCAAAATAGAATAGCTTTAAAAAAGAGGGGGAGAAACCCCAGGGTTCAAAGATGACATACGCTTATAATGTAAATCTGTATTGAGATGACATCGTCGCTGATTGGTTTAGCGAGTCGATCGTTGATTGGTTTAAAACTAGGTCAATTTGAAAACTTTAAAAACCAAGATGGAGGGTACGTTTTTGACAAAAGGTGTGCGAAGGAGCAAATTGTATGTCATCAATTGAATCATGGGGTTTTCCCTCCTCTTGCTGTGAAATTTCAATAGTTCAAGTTCAATGTTGTCTGTTCTGAAAGATCCTAATTAAGATGAATATTCCGTCACAAAATAGTTCAAGATGAAGCAAAAATCTCTGAGTGAAGGGAAGCAAAAAAGAAGCGAGTCATTTTTGAGATGTCACAAATCTGACTTAAACCTAACTTTCAACTAATTATCAATAGTAAGTTAGGTGATAATTAGAGATTAACTTACATCAAACTTACAACTAACTTTCAACTAATTTACGTAAATAGCTCATTTGCATATTGATGGTAGTTAATCGTTAATTAAGTTGCAAATTAAGCGTTAATTAAGTTGATAATTAGCTCATTTGCATGTGAATTTTTACACCTAACTTTCAACCAATTATCAATAGTAAGTTAGGTGATAATTGGAGATGATTTTCCATAGGCTTTTTTCAATTGGGCCCCTATCACACCAAACTAGTTCTTACCCGTTCTTGCCAGTCCTACGAAAACGTTGTAAAACGGGCTCAGTCTGGCTGTGGTCGGGAAATATGTCTAAAATAATTAGCTACTTCGTTCATAAACAGTCTTCAATACGTCCATCTCATTTGCAGTTCGTTCAGGTCGCACCACATCGGTGTGCAACGTCGTATAACGCGTCCCTTAGTCTAGAAGGTCATCATGACCTGATTACAGAACGGTATGGTCGCCATCGAATTTTGAATCGATTCAAAATTCTAAATCACATTCCCCGTCCGGGAAAGTCCATGAAGTTCGTAAACAGACCGTAGGACGTTGTAGCTACGTTCATTCAGTTCGCACACAGTTTAAAACCGATTCGGCAACGTTTTGACGATCACCAGAATATTTTGAGCATGCTCTAAGTTCTGGAGGACCTACTCGTTCTAGTAGTTCCATGAAGTTTGTAAACAGATCCCAAACGGTTCTTAGTGGGTTCTTAGTACGTCAAATCCGTTCGTGCACAGTTTAAGCCTGTTTTCGAGAGCGTAGTGAGAACTAGTTTGGTGTGATAGTAGGGTTATCCCCTATCACACCAAACTAGTTCTTCACCGTTCTTGCTAGTCCTACGAAAACGTCGTAAAACGGGCTCAATCTGGCTGTGGTCGGGAAATATGTCTGAAATAATTAGCTACTTCGTTCATAAACAGTCTTGAATACGTCATCTCATTCGCAGTTCGTTCAGGTCGCACCACGTCGGTGTGCAACGTCGTATAACGCGTCCCTTATTCTAGAAGGTCATTATGACCTGATTACAGAACGGTATGGTCGCCATCGAATTTTGAATCGATTCAAAATTCTAAATCACATTCCCCGTCCGGGAAAGTCCATGAAATTCGTAAACAGACCGTAAAACGTTGTAGCTACGTTCCGTTCGCACACAGTTTAAAACCAGCTTTGAAGAACGCAGTGGCAACTCGTTGATACATACATTCTTAATCAGTTTTAACCCGTTTGCAATTAGTTCTACCTCGGTCTCAATACGTCCTCAAACAGTTCAACTCGTTGTAAAAACGTCCCTAGTAGGATTGAAGTACGACGGTTCCGTTCGTAGTACGTCCAGCTCGTCGTAAGTAGGTTGTCACTCGTTCTAATTGTAGAACGTGACGACCAAGAGAACATTTTGAGCATGTTCTAAGTTCTAGAGGACCTACCCGTTCGAGTACGTTCGATGAAGTTTGTGAATAGACCCCAAACGGTTCTAAGTACGTCCAGTCCGTTCGTACACAGTTGAAGCCCGTTTTTGAGAACGTAGTGAGAACTAGTTTGGTGTGATAGTAGGGATAGTTCCTTTAAAGTATTGTACTCCTACTACATTGTTTATTTGAAAATACTATACTAGTAGATGGGTTAACTACATTTGGACTTCATTGTATGATGCAAATGTCCCCTTTGGCATGGAAATACCTTAGGGCAATAGAAATAAATTTATCCAAAGACACAAGCTAGATGGCGCTTTATATTGGAAATATCCACATTTTTCAAAATGGCCACCAAAAATACATCAGAGACAATATTTTTGATTCTGTGCATGCTACAATTATAAGATTGGTGTCAAAAAATACAGCGATGTAGTCGTTGAATCTATTTTATAAGATCTTGAGTCTTGAAAATTAAGAACTTCCACTTTATATTCAAAATATACGTGTTTTTTAAAATGACTGCCAGAAATATAACAAAGAAGATATCTTGCCTTACGAAAACTTACAAAATAAGATATCTTACCTTACAAAATGTCCCCTTTGGCATGGAAATACCTTAGGGCAATAAAAACAAATTTATCCAAAGACACAAGCTTGATGGCGCTTTATATTAGAAATATACACATTTTTCAAAATGGCCCCCAAAAATACATCAGAGACAATAGTTTTGCGTCTGTGCATGCTACAATTATAAGAGTGGTGTCAAAAATACATTAATGTAGTTGTAGAATCTATTTAACTAGGTTTCGAGTCTTGTAAATTCAGCACTTGCACTTTATATTCAAAATATATGCATTTTTCAAAATGGCTGCCAGAAATATAAGCATGCTACAATGATAAGAGTGGTATCAAAGTATACATTAATATTGGGTTGTAGAATTCATTTAAATAGGTCTTTCATAATAAGAATTTTCACTTTATAGGAAATTATGTTTTTAAAAATGGCCACCAGAAATATAACAATGATATCTTCACATCAGTGCATGCTACCCTGATACGATTGGTGTCAAAATATTATATTTATGGGGTAGGAGAATCAATTTTATTAAGTCTTGTGAGATTATAGTTTTCACTTTATATTGGCAATATATGCAGCTGAAAATATAACAAAGATTGTATTTTTGCTAACAAAGATTGTACCTTTGCTAGCAAAGATTGTATCTTTGCTAACAAAAATCTTTGCTCAAAGTTTCTTTACTTCTGGGCATAATATTTCATAAAATTGGCTTCAAAATCTACATTTTTAGGAATGTAAAATCTATTTAATTACTCAGATGCAAGTAGGTAGTTACCATTTTCCCCACCAGGTGGTTAATTCGGGTGAAATAACATTGCAGGGTATTACAAAGTTCCATTAAACTTGAACATTTTTAATTTTTAGTGGTTCACATTTCATATTACTCTTTTGTAACTGATAGTTGTACAAATTAAAATATCACCAGTTAAAGAAAATTATTATCTGCACAACACAAGAAAAGATATTTCACTTTTTGTGTTTTACAACATGGGGACTATGGGGAATCTCCCTGACCTAAATGTCACATTTCCGAAGAAAATTCAATTTTAAGTTGATGGACTCATTTCTAAACCACATTTCTTGATGTATTTTTTTATGACGATTCCAAATTCAACATCAGTTAGACTGAATTTTGAATTTTTAATGACAAAAATAATGATTGTTACTACTCGCATTTATCAAATTGGATTATGATCCTTAAAAATAATCGTTTTCGCATTAACACAGCAAATGTGTATTTATCTTTCAATGTTCTTTTTGCCCAAATTCACCAGAAAGACCAGTGTCTCTTTAATAACTTGCAATAAACAAGCATCTGCAATGGTAGTGCAATGTTGCAGTTGTTGCAATGTAACATACATAAGAGAGAAATGTGATAGATAGAAACCACGCAGGACAGACATACATATGTACCTATAGTTAGAAAGGGCCAGAAACCTGAAGATCGGAATTGATTTCAAGGGCTGCAGATTATGACAGTATTGCAGAACCCTCTTCATCTCCTCTGACCAAATCATGGACGATGTCTCTGTTTACCGAGTCTTCCACTAATCCAACCAACAAACTATTAAGCTTGTTGATTGGCAACCATTTTGAAAAAGACATGTATGTACACACACAGCACTGAATATTGTCATATTGAGAAAAATATTCTTATTTTCTCATTTGAACATTTAAGAGATTAAGATTTTAAGATTTTAAACGGCAATATGTCTTTCACCATGAGTACTTCCTGGCCATAAATACAGTGTTTATTATTAAAACAATGTGTTTTATTTCAAGTGAAGTTGAATCCAACTTTCTGGAAAATTATGGATTAGGGTCCCATCTTGGCACTTTTTTAAAATGTTAAACTTATTTTGTAAAAAGATGATCTTGTTTTTTCTCAATTTAAACATATCAAAAGTTTCCTCACTTTTATATCATTAATTACTTAAAAGGGGACGGTATTTGGAATGCGCTGAAGTTGAAAACCACATCTCCCATGCTATCCATTGTTTTCAGCATAGTTTCCGTCATCGCAAATTGATATTCAAAACTACACTTTCAAACTATTCTACTTTTGAAGAAGTTTAAGAGCCCTTGTTAGATATATTTTTTTTGAAATATTTTCGACAGCCATTGAAAAAAGGCATACATTTTCAATAAAAAGTGAAAATGTTTGTTAACTACTAGCACACAGTACAATATCAGAATTTCTGCTGATTTAAACATTTTGGTGACCATTATATCAATGCTAAAAATTATATTTAGACAATAAAAAAATTGAGATCTAACTTGATATAATGTAACCATACCTTGACGGCATATCTAGTAAGTAATAGCTAATCAACTCCTTCTCTGGAACATTTTGAATTTTCTGAGGCATTAATCATAAAATTTACACCATATTCAACTTAATTGAGTACATATGGCCATACTTTGAAGGAATCTGAAAATAATTGCAAAATCATGCATAAGACAGACGATGGACTGACTGATGAAGGAATCTGAAAATAATTGCAAAATCATGCATAAGACAGATAATGGACTGACAGACTGACGGATGGAGGGCTTCACTATATCCCCACTGAACTTTCTTCGTTGGGATAATAAAGACTATAAACCTTATCAAATGAATTCTACCACCCATTAATGTATACTTGGACATCAATCTTACTATTGTAGCATGCATACAAGTGAAGATATCATCTTTGTTACATCTCTGGCAGCCATTTTGAAAAAGGTATAATTTTTTTATGTAAAGAGGAAGTTCCTAATTTTCAAGACTCAAACCCATACTAAATTGATTCTTCATCCACAAAATTTATATTTAGGCACCAATCGTATCATTATAGTATGCATAGAAGAAAAAATATTGTCTCCGTTGTATTTTTGGCGGCCATTTTGAAAAATTTGAATATTTCCAATATAAAGCGCCATCTGGCGTGTGTCTTTGGATAAATTTGATTCTATGGTCCTAAGGTACTCTCATGTCAAAGGAAACGTTTGCATCATAGATTGAAGTCCAGACCCCCTAAAATGCAGTTAACCCATCTACTATACGTAATAATCTTTATGCAGAGAAGCTGATTTAGCAGGATTTATGGTGTGATATTATTGAGTGCGTTTTTCTTAAGATGTTGCCCTTACGCTTATTGAATGTCATCAAACTATTTGATAAAAATAAAGTTTTGTCATTGTTAATGTACTTGGGGGGCAAAGTACTAAGCGTGAGTTAATATTTAGTCTATTGAAGTTCAATAAACGCCCCCTCTCTTAAAAAGAGACTTAAGCTTGTCTCCCCTTCGAATGACGGATTGTAGTAGTACTAGTACTCATTACAATTTTTTGAAAAAATACGCGGCGACCCTCTAATTTTGAATTGTTTGGTGTAAAAGCATTTTAGAGAGAAAGTGTCAAAGATCTTAATGGCAGAACCATTGGGGCAATATTAGTACACCACTGTGATATTTTTGTTACGATATTTAGAACTAGTACAAAAACTAAATAGAACAAGAGGACAAAACTGAAACATCTAACATTAGAAAAACTTTCTCAATGTATGCAAAATTCTCTTAAACATATTTTTCCGAGATATTGTATGTGTTGCTTTGTGGGCCTTTAATTCAAAATTTTAAAAATGAGATAACGTATCGTATCTAACACAAACGGTTAAAATAATCACCTGATTTCTCATTGGTCAATGGACCCGGATTCTCTTCCACTCCTGCTCTTACCAGTAACACTTTTATGAGCCGTAACATCAATGCTAGTTGTCTTGGAGATTTCATGATTGGTAATGAACGGAATGCCTCATTTTTCTGGCCTCTACCAAACGCTCCTGTGGCCATTCTCCACTGTTGAACAGAATTCCCCAGGTTGTATTTTGTTCAGACGCTGAGTCGTAACCTAGACCTTTTGGTATTGTTCACATACTTCTCATATCTTATCTTAACGTTTGATTTCCTCAGTTGAATTTAAACTTCAATACATATGGCGATTTTCAACTTGATGACTAATATATTTTCATAGATAATGTTTTGCAAGAATATATTTCATTTCTGTTATGCAATTCAGCTCGTAATAGTCTTGAATTACATTGATGTGTGTTGATAAGATTCAAATGAAATACGTGTTATGTATTTTTAAAATGAACTTCAGACTCAATGAATATTAGCATAGTCTATAAATAACAAGATCAATAATTTTCAAGTAGGCCACATGTCAAAAAACGTGAAGATCATTATTAATTGAAAATAAAAGACCATTTACCTTTTTAAAACGTCAACAACTTTGAAAAATATCTAAAAGAGAATTTGAGTCCTTGTAAATGATATTTGGATAATGGAAAATATTTCAAACTTTGCATGGGAACTCTCATTTAAGTTTTGAGATTGAGATAAAATGCCATTTTTAAGAATGTTTACATATTATTATTTTCTCATTCCCGGTAGTAATCTTTTATTAGAGAGGATAAGACTTCACCTTTTAGACGACGAAAACCTAGACCTAAACGTAAAGTGCGATGCGCGCGCAACTAATTATGTATTTATTATTATTCAATATGCATCTCACATTTAGTGCAATATATGTATTTATTGTAATATTTGTCTTCAACCATATGCATTATGTATTTCACATTTAGTGCAATATTCATATTAATTGTAATATTTGACCATATGCAATATACTACTTACATTTAGTGCAATATATGTATTTATCATGCAATATGCATCTCACATTTAGTGCAATACATGTATTTATTGTAATATTTGTCTTCAACCGATGCATTATGTATTTCACATTTAGTGCAATATTCATATTTATTGTAATATTTGACCATAGTGCAACATGCTACTTACATTAAGTGCAATATATGAATTTATTGTAATATCAGTCTTCGACCATATGCATGATACATGTCACATTTAGTGCGATATTTGTATTTATTGTAATTTTTGACAATATGCAACATGCTACTCTCATTTAGTGCAATATATGTATTTATTATGCAATATTCATATCACATTAGGTGCAATATATGTATTTAATATAATGATTGACAATATCATCCCATGAACTACTTATTTATGCCAAACTGATTAACCAGACTGAATTTATACCATTGGTTATTAATGTATAAATTTTTAGCAGGGACATTTTTTGTCTCTGTCTTTATGAATGTTAACCCAAGCTGCCCATTGGGGGTAGTAATGGGTGACACTCAGATCTAATGTATACTGTGTCTCATAAGTCGGCACCGGCTGGTGATGTTACAAAATGTTGTTTTTATTATGTATTTTATATGTATATTGTAATATCAGTGACACAAAAATAAACTATTTTAAACTAAAACTAAAACTAAAAACTGTAAACTCGTTCGTTCGACTTTTTTCATAGTCCCGTCGAAGTGTAGATTCAATGTAACTTCAATAGGGTAAGTCGGGTTTCCGTCTTCACACTGGAATAGCCCAACAACGGTAAAGTCAGATACCGTTGTCAAAAATGGCGGACATAACCGTCACTTCAATGACAACGGAATCTGAATTTGAAATAATTTACAAAGACAACGGCATATGGTAATGCAGTATCCGTTGTCCTGTATCTCATTTTGATCGGTTAAAATTAAACATGTTGATGCCTTGTTATGGTTTAAGAAATTAAATTAATGATATTTACTATCATGACCCATGGAGTTGCACCGATCCCATGTAATGGTACTCCTTTGAGGATCATAAGGCAAACAAACCACTCACTGCAGTTTCTCTCTGTCATTCACATCAGGATCGTTTATGGCGTAATACGATGAAGTGGCACCGCCATCCGCCAATGTGAAATTTCATAGAGATGGCGTTATCAGTTTTCGGTTTTGGAGTTTGCCCCCCTTTCTGTTAGTGTGTGTTAACCCGGAATGCACATTGTGCAGATACAAATGGTATACCTAATTAGTAAACAAATGAGCATTTCATACCGATTTAATTGCAAGTGGATACATATATTTATATAATTTGGAAACTTTTATTTTCTCAAATAGTTTATTGTAATTATATTTTCTTTTCTTTCCCGATATTTGATGTCTGACTTGTACCTGCTTTCTTTTCTGAAATCATTTTGCAGTTTCTTTTCTGAAAATTTTAGCAAAGACGATTTCATTCTAATAATTATCAAGAAGATTTCATGAAAAGTATGCATTTGAAGATTTTGTCGTTTTATATTTAAATGAAATAGATTGCATTGTTTATTTATTTATTGATTTCTCAATTAACCCCTTATAGGCTATAAGAGTATACAAAGGACAAACTTAACTATTACAGTAGCAAACATTAACATAACATTTATACATGTACTAATAGTAAGTGTAATACGAGAAATGTTCTATACCACAATTATCAGCTCTAACAGAAAAGCAAATGAGACCGAATATTTAGCGCAATATATTTTTTAGTTTCTTTATCTAAAATGTCACTTACCTGATGTTAAAAACATTCAGTGTGAGGAACTTGCGATGTGTATTAGTATTTATAGTCCTCATTCTACCCACGCATGCTACACGTATTGTTCGGGAGCGAGGAAATGGTGATGCGCAACTAAAACCCCAGTCACATTTCATGCGGCCGCCGTGCGGTCTATCATTTCTGCGGCCAGTTGCTTTTCTACGCTCGCCGCAGAATTTCTGCGCTCTCATAATTTTCCCACGGCAACCGCACGGTGAATTTTAAATTTCTGTTGATAAATAATACTTTTTTCATTTTATTTACATCAGGACAATTTATAAATATTATTCTTAGTGTTAGGATGTAATATCAAATGAAAAGTGATAGTGAAACATTGACAAATAATGATTCAATCTTGTTGAGCCAGTTGATTTCTACGGGGATCTCAGAAATGAACAAATATTATAACTCCGAGTTATGATTTCTACGGCGATCCTGCGGCCTGTAAAAAACTGGATACGCCGTACGGAGGCCGCAAGGCGAGCGTAGTTTTTTACGCTCGCCGCAGAAATTCACCGATTTAATTGATCTGCGGTCGACTTGCGGCCGCCGTGCGACAAATGTGACTGGGGTGTTAAGATTTCACGTTCGCGAAGTGAGAATCCTGGTTCGAGCGCAAGGAACGTAATTCGCGAGGTGGAATTCGCGTTAGTAGAAGTCTAGGAGGCCTGTATATCAGCCTGTTTTTATGGGAGGAAATCATAAACTGATGATTTTTGATGAACTGTCAACTTTAAATGTTATTTTCCAGCTGTGTACCTTAGCAAAAAAGTGCAAACCAATAAAGATGACAATGATTATATTTGTACATTATCCTAACACACATACATGCCTTATGGCGTCTCGTGTGAGATACTAGTAATAGTAACTCAAATAATCAGTGAAGTTGAACAACTGGCTTTATTGCTTTCCAGACATTGACAATAGGAATCACAGTCTGCACCATAGGCCTTGTCATCTCTATCAACAGTCTACTCATTGATTTTGCGTCCACAACATATAGGAAGCATATTCCCCCTCGAATATGGGAATCCGATCACGGGAAAATGCAAAGCGAGGCAATAAAGGGACACACTGAAATGCTTGAAAGACATAGATTCAAATCAATTCCAGGTGAATCAATCTTAGCCAAGGAACTTTTTGATCTGATAAACGCCACGATGAATCCAGAAAATTGTACATCAGCGAAGTAAGTTATTTACCCTCGTAATACTTCATGAAGCTGTCATAATATTTTTCTGTCACCCCTCGTATATGTTCAACAAGGATTTTCAACTACATTGTTGTATTCAGTTGTACCATGGGTTTTCAAAATCTCTTGAGAGTCCATGGTTGTACAGAGATTTCGTGTTTGGCAACCGTATTGTTTATTTCATCAGTTTATTTATTATCCCAGATTAAACTAGATCAGAGTCAGAGGTCCGGACAAAATGCTTTATGTTTTAAGGCCCCAATAAGTGGTGCTTTTTGGCCATTACTGGGTCTTATTAAGGCATTATTTTTAGTTTAGGCCAAATTATCAAAAAACGGGCCTCGAATTTTAAAAATTCGGGCCAACTTTTCGGTTTTAAGGGCCAACTTTTTTTGTCAGTGTTGAATTATGCCTCAAAAATCCTACTACACTTTTCAAAGCATATAAAGTACTTGTACACCAAGAATCACTTCTCGACCAACCATGTATTTCCGAAAAATGCATCTATCATACATTTGCATAAGGAAATTATTTTCACTTTCCATTGTGACTAAGTCTCGTTACAATACTGTTTTGATGTGTTCAAGGTACCTACTTTGTGAATGGACCAGGGGTGCTCCTTGGGGTCTTGGCAGTATGATCCATCTAATATTAGCATGTTTACCAGCAGCTGTTGCAACGCACAGGGTGCTTCGCCTAAATTCAGCAACATTCCGACCAGAGTCATGGGAAACATATCTCCTACCCCCGAGTGATACATGTGCCAATCATCCCTTGACAGACATCCAGGACTGGAGCACAATAGAAACTCCAGAAAAAAGTTTGGTGAATACTTTAAGAATAACACTGCCAGATAAAGGCCCGAAAAAATCACTACATCTATTCACTGCATTTTCTGTACCGCCAAGATTTGCAGGTATATCAAAGAAGCATCGCATCCCGGAACTTTGGATGGTTGGACAATATGTACGATATCTTATTCAACCAACAAAGAAACTAAGGCAGTTCATATCCAATGTAGTGTCAAAGATAGGATTCCGAACTCCTGTCGTAGGTTTGCATATAAGAAGAGGGGATAAAGTTCGAGAAGTTAAGCCAACACCTCTGAACAAATATTTTGATGAAATAAACCAATACTTTCTGACGAGAAATTATGACACAAAACTAGTATTTTTAGCAACAGATGATAAAAATGTCTTCAATGATTGTCGAGATAAATATAAACAATATACATTCATTCAGTTGGAATCTGATAAGACCAAGCGCACCAACACCATGGTAACTTTAACAGATATTATATTATTGGCAGAAACTGATTATTTTGTCGGAACATTTTCTTCAAATGTGGGTCTTTTGGTCCATGAACTACGACAGCAACGTTACAAAGATGGGAGCTGTATGAGCAAGTCAACAGATGTAACTGCTTATCATTTCATGACTTGTTGTAATATTGGTGCTATGAAGGTAACGAGACCGCCAAATTGCACAATTGAGATCATAAACAAACAGAATCAAATAACATCACCTATATTGTAAAATGCACAATCAGAAATGAGACGGCATATTTAGAGTTTAAAAAAATGTAAATAAAGCTCTCTTGTAAAGAGGCTTGACACACTGACGAATGTTTCCACCGGTTTTCTTCAATTAAGGAAAGCAACTTTGAGACAAAACTATTTGAGTCTTAAAAGCGCCATATTCATGATCCTATCAAATTCCTCTTCAGTTCCTGTCAAGAGATGAGAGCAACTTGGGTGTTCTCCAGCATTGTTCACTAGAACATCAATTCTGCCGAATTCATCCACAGCTGTTTGAACGAGTTTCGTAATAAGTTCCTTTTGCCGAACGTCCCCTTTGACAATTGGAATCTTGGCATTCTCGGCACCAATTTGTTTGCATTCAGCTACTGTTTTATCGTGTCTGTCTAGATTTCTTCCATGTATTAGAACACTGGCCCTTTAATGGGCAAACAACAGCGCAGTTGCTTTACCATCCCCACTGTTCGATCCTGTGACAATGATTCCTTTGCCAGGAAACTTCATTTTAAGTTGTTGCTACTCAAAAGTATATGTCCAATACAAAAGTGTTTTCAGTCGAGACTTAGATACATTTTGATTGGGTCCTAACTTTAATCCTGTACTTAATGTCGGTAAAAGATAATGCAATAACCATAGCGACCCCTATTTAATTCCATTAGGCTCGCAATGATGAAGCAAATAACACCAATGTTAGTGGAGTCAGTAAGCAGTATAATTGCAGAATAAACCACTTCCCATTTTGGAATATTTGATATTGCAGATTTCTATAGGATTAATATAAAAAAAACAAACAGGCACATTTCTAAAAAAGTCTTATTTCTAATACAGGGCGTATCAAACAAACACAACAAGTAGTTATCTCGTAAAATCACAAAACTAGTGATGACTACATCAATTTCATTCAATGTACTATAAAGCCACGTCTCTCCTCTTTGCAATGATATGTCATTCATTCACATGTGGTAATGGTTGGGTGAGAAATCCTTCCATTTGCACAGTGGGTCAAAATCGACTCTGGACCAAGTTTTAGATATTGCAAATATCAGTGCAAGGGCTAAGTGCCAATGGAAGTTCCCTTGACTTGAATTGTTGTGACTTTTTCTTTTGGAGCTATCTCAGGAGCATCTGTGCTCACAATTCCTTCACCAGATATTGCAAAATCTCGAGAAAGAATTGCCCATGGGCTGATTTCCTCTGCCTTAACCCACAGATGACTCAGGGCTGAACCATGCATGACATGGACAGATGAGCACATCTTTATGTGCAAGGAAGTGGTGGCAATTTTGAGGGGTTATAGGATGTATTCTTGCAAGAGTATGAGTATGAACACTTTACTGTCTATGCCACACCTGTCACACCTTCTTCCAATAGCCCCTGTGCCCATTGTACTGACTTTTGCAATGTTTAAAACTTGGGTCCGCTAATTTTGGCCCACTTTGCAAATTACTCGACCAACCATGACCAAATATCAATGAATGATGTATCATTGAAAAGAGGAGACACATGGCTTTATGGTGCATTGAATGAAATCAATGCTGTTATCACTGGTTTTGTGCTCTTTAGAGATAACAATCTGTTGCGTTTTTTTGATACGCACTGTATGTCTGACCATTAAGTTGTACAAGAAATCTCCTATTGGCTGACATTATAAAATGCTATCAACTCAGCTTTTAATCTACTAATAAAGTGTTCCTTTCCTTTCCAGATTTCTATAGTGATGATATATTGACTTTTAAAAACCAAACAGGGACATTTCTAAAAATGTCTTGTTTTTGATTTATTTAGCCATTAACTTGACAGAAAATTCCCATTGACTACAGCAATATCAGAAAATTCCAAAGTAGACTTTTGGAGGAAAGGACACTTTAGTTAAGCCATATTGTTAGTGGTTTATAATGGCGGTCAATGGGGATTTCCCAAAATTCAATCATCAATGTCTTTGGAACTAGATAAAATCCAGCTAGTAACCCTTCTTATTTTGAAGATATTCAAGTTATGGTTACATACTAGGAAGATTGACTTTATTGCTCTTGAACTGTTCTGCGGGGTCTTTTGAAGATTGATAAATTAACATGGGACTCAATGGAAACGTGCACAATTTTCGAGGCCTGTTATTATCCACTGGGGGCACAATTTGTTTTTCGGTACATATCAAAAATATGTTCAATACTTATAAAGTACTCCTTTATATCATCGTTTTTATAGAATATGAGACTTCCTTCCTCATGCTACGCAGAGATGCCTTTAGGGCCTTCTAGAAAGCATTGCAATTTTCTGAAAAATTATCATTTTCACAAAATCCATCATATTTCCGATATCTTGAGTCATATCATCATGTTATAGTGACTACATTATTAATAAAATCACTACACATCATCCAGATACTTCAATTTCGGATATAAATGGAAGAATTCAGAGAAATTAATTTTAGTTGAAAAGTGTACGACGTGAAGGGGGTGTTCGACGTCAAGCAAGGGCATTCAACAACTCCATTAAAATGTGTTTTATTAATATACCTCTTAGCGTAACAAACGCTCATCCCCTTGGAAAATCCTTTCCCTCCTATTAAAGGCCCATGAGCGTTAATTTTGAATTCTTTCTAATTAATGCGCTACTTCGTACAAAAATCTATTAAAAATCAAGGAGCTTCCAAACATTTCAAGATGTCATAGGTTTAAATTTGACATGAAAATTTAGATACGAATTAGTGCGGTGTGAAAGAAATGATGGTCCCCCAGGGATTATGGTCCCCTTTCTTAACGGCCCTTACTGGCCCTGATTGTGTATAAGATAATGAGGGAAAGAGTTGTATTGAGGTCACCATATAAATCAATGGAGAGTAGGACCATAATTTGATAGGACCTCCCACCATTTTACACCTGTGAAGTCAGATAGAGACCGCTACAAAAGACCGTCGGTCTTTTTTGGAATGAACAGTTTCATTCTTTCGCCGGTCTTTATCGGTATTTTTTGTTAAAATCTGATCACGTGATACTTCCATGGTAACTGAGGCCTTCATACATGACGTTACGCGGTCAGGGGGGATTTCATCGGACACGACAGGACTCCAAAGGTCTTGGTCATCTCAAGACACATGAGAAAGGCTCATATTCTGTCAAAACGTTGAAATAAATTGACTATTGCTGCTTTCAAGAGTCCTTGATACTCGGCTTCTTTGAATTGGAACGCCGAAGAACCTTTAATATCCAAAATTGGTGTTAAAAATCAGAGTAACCTGTATATTGCGCCATCAATATACATGTTACAAACCCGATCTTCTGTAAATGTGAGATCTTGAAGAAGTTCCCTCACATGCTGCAGTGTACATGTACCAAACGCCTTTTGATAATTAGAAGAGGGATAGAGATTAGAGAAGCCGTCCGTCCGCTTGTTCTTAGGTCTGTTCGGGCGATAACTCAAATATACCAGTTGACGGATTGGGTTCAAATGTTACAGGCTGATGATGCTTTTGGAGATAGGGCTTGAATTGCTCTAGAATTGTTGATACCTTAAATGATACAGATTTAGTTAATCATGTAAATGCTGGTGCCTGGGGCACGGGTCTATTGGACTCCTATACGATCTTCAAGAATTTTCAGTTTGTTAATTGAATCTATGGAAACGTTAAAAATTGACACCAAATGGTTCATTCAAATCTAAATATCTTTTCAATGGATTTGGTATTGGAAGACTCAAAATGTCTTGTGGTATCTTGCGTAGTGAATTCCGTATTCTGCATCTGCAAAGGTGTACAAGCTCCGACGGATGCTGCCATCTATTTAGCGGCAACACGTCTATGAATTTCTCACGCAAGAAAAATGTTGGTTTTTGTAAAACATCATGTCTACGTGTATATCGGCTGTAATATTCTGCAGATTCATTTAATACGATGATATTTACATGTGGTATAACCTGACACATGCTCTGAATGCATTTTATAGCTTTATTCAATGTTTCACTGTCCGCATGTCCTACGTCTTCATAATTTGCGCAGTTATTTATGGCGCCGATGACCTTGGCAAAGGGGTACATTTGGAGCTTGCAGAGGGCTGGAGGGCTATCATTGTGAGTGTATGCTAGAGGTTGTGCTCCGTGCCTTAAAAACAACATGACCATATCCGGATTAAGTTCGATACAGATCTGAAGAAAAGGAGTGAGCACCAATCCAAATTTTTTCTGGAGCACCATCAATGATGGGCCAGAGTCCCTGCCGTTCCAATTCTCTAGGCTCAAAAGTGACCTTTGCATCTCGGTGTTACCTACCGGAATATACCGTCGATTTAGAAGTGCCTGCCCAGTCTGTTGTAGAAAATATTGCATCCGATGAAGTCTTAAACGTTGGTCTTCAATCCCATGTCCAAATAGTTCAAATTTTGTAGCGTATGGGAACAAACTCAAAAAATGATCTACTAGCGTATTCACTATCGGACTTATCAGATTAGATCCATAGCATATACTTAGAGCCACGTTTGAGGCGTTGTATAGATTGTCTCTTGCCCACTTCATAACCGATGTGAATGTTTTCAAATTGATCGCATCTCTCGCAACATGTTCCGCGTGACACCTGCCTTTTGTAATGAGATCTCGAATGTAGGCACGTGATGTTTTTAAATGAATGTGATCTAAACATGAATCGCCGAATTTCCGTCGTAGGGCTAAGAATATATTCGGGCTAGTTGCGGCCCTGACATGTTCCATAACGCTGACACAATCGATATCCTTTTGTTAAAGATCCTACTTTGGCATTGACACCGTTTTCGCCTTTATTTTGAATTTGAACGAAATGAATCTACAGTGACGTACATCATTATTTGAAACAATTGAACAATAATGCTTAGCTAGAAGCCCTATTTGCACTATGCTCCTATCCAAGCACGTACAGCCATCATAAAGATAGTGTTCTTCCAAAAACCGGTAGCTGTTTCACAAAGCTAGACTAGTATCCAAAATTAACACTTTATATGAAAAATGTATGATCTCCTATGACCCATCGTTTTTATCTGGATGTTTCAATTTGGAAAATGAATATTTTCTAGTTATTATTCAATTTTTTGTTTGCGAAATATACCAAAAATTGATAAAGTGATGCTTGGCTTAAACCGTGACCGAAGGTCGAGGTTTAATTATTTACTGTAAAGTATATAATGGCTATACTGTGTTCTGATTGGATGAAATGGGATGTTTTAGCCGCCCTAAATTGGATTTAAGTATGTGCACGTCATTCATCTAATTAAGATTTTCATGAATAGAAACACGTGCCATTTTCAAATAGAGCAGTTGGTTAAAAACATTTTTTAAATTTTTAAAGAAATGATTTGGACATCTTACCTATCATAATCAAAACATGCAAAAGTTGCTCAAACTACACCGAACCTTTTACGGACGGGCTTTTTGAGGCTCTCCTTTGCTCAACTGCTTATTGAAAATGAGTACAGAAGTTCTACATAAATCACGCAAATATGGTCCTATCCTTAATCAATAAACATAAAAAGCGTGAGATTATTCAAAATATTCACGAATCACGATCACCTTTGATTCAATTTCGATAACTTCAAACAAGACAAATTGCCAAGAATCTAACAAATATTCTTCGAATCTAAGTAACATAAACTGCGTACTTTCGTTTCTTTAGAATAGGAATTGAAAGAGCGTCAATAGGCCAACAATTTTGTATTCTATGTGAATATGAACAATCTACCCTAACAATCATTTAATAACATAGTGGCCTGGTTTTCGAATGTTTACGCAGTCAGTAGAAGCAGTGGAAAAAATCGTCTTCACTTCGATCTAAGTGCCAAGGAAAGACGTAGGTATTAGGTAAGTCTCATACTAATTAAATGGTTATAAAAGTCTTGTTTAATGGTTTACGCTTAAGCGTTTTCATGGTAGATCTAATATGGAATATTCGTATTTATTATATCACTATCTAGCTAGCGACAGTATGATTGGTCAAAACCGGGTCACATGTCGTGGGATATCTGGCGATATTCAATGGCAATGCTAATCAGATAAGACAACCGTGAGATATCTAGCGATATCCCACGCTCCCGGGAATTTTCAAAGAATTTGTTTTCGTTCAGTGTAAATAATTTAGTTCAGTTTAAGTCAAAATGGCACACGAACCGAGTAGATTCGTAAAAATATCTGAAGACTTAATGACTTAATAATATTAGGGATGTTTAGCTAGACAGTGATATAATAAAACAAATATTTCACTCTATTTTCGGTGAATACCTGTAGCACTTTCACAAGGTGATATTCCACTTGCCCTTCGGGCTTCGTGGAATATCACTTGTGAAAGATGTACAGGTATTCACCTCAATAGAGTGAAATATTTGTTCAATATTTTATTTAGATTCAATCAGCAGCCTTTCGTTACATAGTGTAAAAATCTCAATTTTTCATCGCGATTCGAACATTGGAATATTAATATGATCTTATCAAAAGAGCAACCTTCGATGTGAGCGAATTGCCAAAATAATAAACACGTACATAATTAGAAGGAGGAACGTAAAAGGTAATTCTATTAACGTTATTATATAATAGAAATACAGAGTGTCCATAAAGTCTTTTTAAACTTAACACACACTTTTTATTGTAATTGTAAAGAGAATTCATGAACACGCTGTATTTAGTTGGGATCATAATGCCCCAGTCTCATTTGCCACGGCGACTCTGCACTCTTAAGTTTAAATAGCAACTAAAAGACAAGCGCGTTGTAACCGCAGTGAGACCATACGGTGACCGTGCGGACAGTCTGACGCTACACTTTCTTGGTTTGGAGTTACTGCGGCTGCCGTATTCTATCTAGTATTCTAGCCGTAGAGCAAATGTGATTGAGGTATTATTATTTAATAAGGATCGAAAGTCAAATAATTTCAATGGGTTTCTATTATTTTAATGGATGAATTTGTAATTGGTACAATCATATATTTGGCCCTATACAAATAAAACGGCAACCCTGTCGCTATTTTGCTCATATCTTTGTAATTCTAGAAAATGACTCCCTGATATTTGGTACATGTGTACATAATCCAATCGTCCACCAGCTTACAATATTTTATGACCATCAGATTGATAGTTACAATATTACAGTACTTTAAACAACATGCTCGAGAGGCCAATATTGCGCTGTTGACAAACCTGCACTCGTCGTCCAAAATGTTCATACCTGACTTCTACCTTTGGGATATGCCAAAGATAAAGTGGACACAAACGACCTCAGGACAATTACAGACCTAAAAAAGGAGATCATAATTGTCATTCAGGGCATACCTACTGAGGATTGCAGTTGGGTCATAGACAACTTATTTGTGCATGTTTGCCTAAGCGCGATGATGGAAAGTGATATTCTTCAATACATATCTTTTTGGGTTGCGATATAAACCAAAACAACCCAATAAGGTGTGTATTAAAGATTTACTTTCCTGTTATATCAATTCAAAATCTGCTTGGAACTGTATGTAGCATTAGATTTCTATGGGAAATTCCTCAAAGAGAAAATTCTAGGGATTGAGGAATGGGTACCATTTCATTTACACAATTTAAGAAATTATTGGCATATACATGAAACAGTCCTCTGAAGTTTGAAAATGAAAATGAGAACTATTTTCGGGGATTATATGGTGCAATCTTATAGTCAATAAAATGAAAAGTGTATTGACGTTTTTTTGGTCTTTTTGTAAGCTCTTTTTGTATGCAAATCGAGAGTATTCAAGCAGACTGTAAATGCAATCTTGTGACATTTTTCATGAATACGTTGTTCGTTAGGAATTGCTAGCTACTCCATGGAGTTGCCATTTTCCTATTCATAGTTGATTCAACGTTAATAATAAAAAGCGCTACAAAACAAGACGTGAATTGCGTTGCGGTAAGTGTCTTCAAATATTATTTACTTTCGTTCGAATAGAAATATGATTTTAAATGTAGACGCTCAATCTTTTGTATTTGTACATGTTTTCATGTTAAGACGAAATGAGAGGGGAAAAAATGAAACGAGAGAGTATTCTGTCGTGTTAACTTGTTTTGTCACGTTATAATTTTCTCAATATTTTCATGGACAATAGTTGCAGTTCATTACGCTACACATTTATCCGTCACGAGTTTACCCTTAAAAATGATTCTAAACAACTAGTGATCTATTCAAGGGGACCTCAAAAAGGCTTAAAGAACTCCTCACCTTGAAACATTATAACTAAACAACAATAGTTTGGGCTAAAACGGTTTATTAAGTAAAACGTAAAACTCTCATAATCTCAAATACATATAAAATTAGTAATGGAATAACCGCCCAAGCAACCCTGAATATTGCCTTTTTAAAAATGATGACAACACAGATACCGGGGTCATTATATATCTTTTAAAACAGTCACTAGACCAACGACGTTGAAAGTTTTTCAAATGCGCGATGCGCATGGCGGAAATCACTCATACATGTAGTTTTATATAAAGATGGCAGGTCAGTATACATGTTAGTAATAATTGATAAGTTTAAAGGCCCCATGTAAAGTTTAAACCACTTTGGCTTATATTGTAGTCTTACCCAATGTAATCAAAGTGTGATATGTGAAACTTTTTTTTTAATTTCAAAAAGTGGTTTTTGATAGACTTTTTGTTCCAAAATTTGTGAATTTATTTAAAACCAACTTTTAGAGGTCACTCATATCTTCTAATTAGCCATAATTCATACTAATGCATAGCATTCATCCTCCCATGTTTTTTTTGCCGAAAAGATTAAGAAAATCGGTTGATAAACAAGCGAGAAATGAACTTATCAGTGCATGAAAATGGTTCTGAGAAAAATGCATTTCAAAATTTTAGTTCTCATTGAAACCAATGGTACAATGATATCTAAAACATAATTTATTCTTCCTTTTAACCTGGTTAGACAATCAACATTGTTTTTTTATGAAAGTGTAGCATATTTAGAAAAAATTGACATCGAAAAAAGAAATTCAATTTTTTTCAAAAAGTTTTTGTTACCTTAGTGACATCACTAATGTTTCAAAATATTTTTGATAAGCTAAAACATTGAAGTGGCCCATTAAATATGACATTTTATTATTGAAATAGTGTGTCTTTTGTTCAATCTTTGCATTGGTGTTAAAAAGATAATCTTTTTTGAAATGCATAAAGAAATATTTGATGATTAAGAAATTTCAATTTTTTTTTCAAAATTCTTTTTTGTTCAAAAATCTCTAAAATCACTTTTTAAGTCCTGACAAATAGTAAATGAATGATAAAAAAATATTTTCAAACTTTAGACGGGGACTTTAAGCATCGTGCAGAATAAAAAATGAATTTATATAATATAAAATATAATTTCTTGGAGTAGTTATATTCCGATAGGAAATAAACAATTCGATCATAAAACGGATCAATATTAAGAATATATATAGGATGTCTCAAAAAATGTACCCAAAAGTATATCAACAGCATAGAATTATATATATTTTTTCAGACAATTTTTGCATGGTCAAAACATGTAAGTTTTTTCCCCTTTACGCAGTTTTTAATTTGGCTTTGCCTTTTTGATACTTTACCCTTTACCCTTTACACCACACAATCAATGTAACCTCAAATTTCGATGACAGCCTGCATCCTTACTATAATTACATTGTTCATTACATTTGATATTTTTGGCTTGCCCCAGAGAAAAAAGTATGGGCCATAAAATCTGGTGAATAGGGAGGCCCTCACAATGTCTTATAGCCCCCTTATACAGAGAGGTCAGACGTTCAAGGAACTGCATTGGTTGGAATTCTAGTGTAGCCTTTGTTGTATGTAGAGGGGCTCAATCAATTTGAGACCACTGTGTTTTCATTTTGATATCATTTGGTCTCCAGGCTAGCCTGCGTACCTCTGGAAAGTAATTCCTGAATCATTTGCCGATAATTGACCTGATTTGAAGGAGTGTTGTAATGCTCATTCCAAGCAAACAGACCTAGAACAACACAAGGGCAACATCCAAAGAGAAATCCAAAACAATCTACCAGAATTATTATCAAATGTGATGAACAATGAAGTAGTAAGCATATAAGCTGTCATCAAAATATGAGGTTACATTGAATATGTGGTGTAAAAGGTAAAGGGTTAAAGCATCAAAAAGGCAAGACTGAAATAGAAATGGTGTATTGGGGAGAAAACTTTCATGTTTTGGCTACATGACCATGCAAAAATGTCTGAAAATATTGATTGGTTTATCTGTGCTGTTGATATACTTTTGGGTACATTTTTGAGACACCCTGTATATATTTAAAATAAATAATTTGTTTAAATACTTATTTCTAATATTGGTTTCAATCGTTTTGAGCTATTCGGAATGCATTAATATCATATCAACGCATATCGTTAGGATGTTAGTATCAACTTATTTTCAGAGTCAACCCCATATTGAACAAATACAATGTAATTGAACAACGATGGCAGCAACATTCCGGTGGCTTCTACTTGTGTTATTGGTGCATAGCCAACGCCTTGTGAATGCACAGTTAGGTAATTAGTTCATCGAAACAAATACGAAACATCTTATCGAATACGTTTCATAGGGGGATAGTCATAATTTGACCTCTTTTTCGATGTTGCGCGAACGAGCTAAAAGTATTGGTCGATTGAGAAAACGATAATCACTGCTGCATTTGATTCAAATGATTATCCTTTGCAATTGCATTACCTCGAGCGACCACCTCTAGAATGATAAAAAGAAGAATTGAGGAAAGTGAAATCAATTTAAATAGCCCTGAATAAAAAAAAATGTATGTCACAATGTAGTTTTCACCTTTTACATATTTAAACATGAACCAAATCAAAACATATTGCGAAAATGTAAATGTTACTTATAAAGTTTCGCTGAAGTTGAAGTAATAAAAATATTAATAATACTATATGAACCCAATTGTAGGACGTCTATCTGTAAATCATATACATTTTAATTTGTAGGAACACCAGAGAATCTCTCTATTCAGACAAAGGATGCAAACTACATCCCCATTGATCAGATAGATTTAACTGGAAAGCTTGGACTAGTATTCCAAGTGCAGGCCTGTGAATCAGCTTATGTCGCATTGTCAGCCATTTTTGGAAATACCAACTCTCGAATGTACGAGATCGTGATATCAGAATGGTCAAACACAAAATCCGTGATACGAGATTGTAGAGGAAGATGGTGTAATAGAGCTGAATCACCGACTGAAGGTCTTTTGAAGTGTAATGCGTCTGTGTCGCTGTGGGTCGGATGGACAAATGGTGGGTTGAAATGATTCATTTTGTATGTACACATTTAATTAATTCACATTATATTTGGTTATCATTTTTTACGACAACACTCACGCATTTTATCTTCTTGAAGTTAACATACTGGTATTAAATTGCGCTTTTTGATAGGACACATTACTCTTGGAAAAGGTCGGGATTTAGGAATAAAACCTCTGTTAGAGTGGGAGGATAGCAGTCCTGAATACATCACTTCGTTAGCTGTTAGTACTGCGAATGGTGTCGATGGAACCTGGACATTTACACCCGATGACAGTAAGTTTTTAAGACAGTATCTTTGATATGGGAATTGAAAGATTGAACATTGTTCACAAAAACAATTATATTAATTTTGACTACCCAAATCACGTAAGTCCCACTTGGTAAGTACGAGAGGGCTCGATTAACCAATGTTGACAACAATATTAACATGATGTTTGAAGGTTTGAACTGAGAATAAAAATGTGCGAACGTCTGGTTTTGATCTTTTTGAATAAAGATTGTTGACTTGTCCAGAACACATGGCAGAGCGAATTTGAACTTAGAAGTAATATGGATAAAGATGATTTTGATATACAGTATCATATGATTTCAATAAAATGCCCATGACAGTATGGAACACGTATTTATATGATATGCCTCATTATCTATATACATCTCTGAACTATATTTATTTACAGATATAACTATCCAGCCAAATGCATTTTGTTATATTGACTTCTTCATCTTTTATTTCAGACTGCAGTTTACCATTGGGCAGGAGTATAATAAATAATGGACAGATAACGTATTCATCCCCCTCAACTGGGTTTCCAAGATTTAACCATAACAGTTAGTTTTTAAATGATTTACTTATAAGCAAACTTTCCATTTATTACAAAGGTTATAAAATCCTACATTCACCTTTTTATGAATCTAGGTGGATGGCAACATTATGGTTCAAGTACACCGTGGCTACAAGTTGATCTGCTACAGCCACATAAAATAACAAAGATGGCGCTACAGGGATATGCTCCGGGAAATTCCTATTGGGTGAAAACATTCCAAATACTTTATAGCGTTGATGGAACCGATTGGCTGTACTACAATAACAGGCAAGCTGTACAGGGGAACATCAATGGTCACGATGTTGCAATTATTGAGATTGCAGAGAATGTGGAAGTAAGTGTGAGATTTAGATTGCATTTAGCCTGTTGTATTATGACCCAAATGCGAGTAGGTAATTACCAGTTTCACAATCAGGTGGCTGATTCGGGGGAAATAACATGGCTGTTGTATAGAAAATTCCCCTAAACTTGAATATTCATCAGTTTTAGTGGTTTAATTTTCATATTACTCTAATGATTGTTGTATAAATCAAAATATGTCCAGTAAAAAAATCATCTGCCCAACAGAAGAAAAGATAATTCATTTTTTGTGATTTTACAACATGGGGTCGATGGGGAATCCCCCCGACCTTGAAGTCCCATTCTTAAAGAAAAATGAATTTTCAAAGTTGATAAATCCAATTCAAAACCACATTTCTAGATCTAATTTTAAATGTAGATTTCAAATATGATATCACTTTTGCTGAATATTGAATATTTGATGGTGTAACTCAAGACTATTTTTACTCCCATCTAAACCATTCCTCAGATTCTATGATTAAAAATCTTTTTATAAATAAATGACAAATAAGGGGAACTATTATAGTCAAGCTCATCGTTTACATCAGCGATTTTGATAATAAAGGAAATATTATTCGAACTATCAACATATCGGAACCATCTTTGTCAGAGAATATTGAAATTGACTATATATATGTACTTAAAGGCAAGATATTTTCGCATCCTTCCCATAACGTGGAATAGTCGCCCCGGTATACGAATGGAGCTCTATGGGTGTCGAAAGGCAGTGTCGGAAAAGGAATACACACACATCGAAAGTGATATTTTGGTAAGTAATTCTAATAAATAACGTAATTGTATGATCTGTAAAATAAAGCCCTCTGATTGGTCAGTTCTTTTGCTGTAACAGTCCATATTGCTCCTGAGATTGTCCCCATTGATCATATCCGTAGCAATACAGAATATATTTGTACGGAGGGGACAATGTCAGTAGCAGTACATACTATACAGAGCTACACAGAATATTTCTTAGGGATTATCATTATTTATAAGTGAAAATATATTGGCCTAAGATCATAGATGAAAACGTATAATTATTTGAAGTGCAATACAGGATATACAAGGGGCGATCCATATATTCTGATAAAAAATCTCCTCATTTTTTGATTTTTTTCACATATCCCTCTCATTTTTTCAGAAAATGTAGATTATGTAATTACACATACAATGCTAAAATATTATAGCTACATCTTAAATTGTTTATGAGATAAGGTTGTCATGGTAACCTGTATTAAGGGTAGGCAGGTCAATTGAATTATAACATATAAAACATCATAAAAATTTGCTATTTTTATTATTTTAATGCATGCGGAAATCATGCATTTTTTCTAAAAAGGTTTGGTATTGTTACTCGTTGTTCGTTGCTAACCCTACTATCACACCAAACTAGTTCTCACTACGTTCTCGAAAACGAGCTTCAACTGTGTACGAACGGATTGGACCTACTAAGAACAGTTTGGGATCTGTTTTCAAACTTCATCGAACGTACTCGAACGGGTAGGTCCTCTAGAACTTAGACGATGCTCAAAATGTTCTCGTGGTCGACTCGTTCTACAATTAGAACGAGTGACAACGTACTAACGACGAGCTGGACGTACTACGAACGGAACCGTCGTACTTCAATCCTACTAGGGACGTTTTAACAACGAGTTGAACTGTCTGAGGACGTGTTGAGAACGAGGTAGAACTAATTGCAAACGGGTTTAAACTGATTAAGAACGTATTTAACACTGCTTATGAACGAGTTAGCAAAAATATAGCTATCACACCAAACAAGTTGCCACTGCGTTCTTCAAAACTGGTTTTAAACTGTGTGCAAACGGAATGAACGTAGCTGCAACTTTCTAAGGTCTATTTACGAACTTTATGAACGTTCTCCGACGGGAATGTGATTTTAGAATTTTGAATCGATTCAAAATTCGATGGCGACCATAACGTTCTGTAATCAGGTCATGTTGACCTTCTAGACTAAGGGACGCGTTCTACGACGTTGCACACCGACGTGGTGCGACCTGAACGAACTGCGAACGAGATTGACGTATTGAAGACTGTTTAAGAACGAAGAAGCTAATTATTTCAGACATATTTCCCGACCACTGCCAGATTGAGCCCGTTTTATGACGTTTTCGTAGGACTGGCAAGCACGGGTAAGAACTAGTTTGGTGTGATAGGGGGGTAAACAAATGTTTATTTGAGCTCACTATAACATCACAGCAATAGCATTGTAGGACAGAATGGGCCAATTGACATTTCATGTCATGAGGCACACCAAAAATCAAAATGTCAGATGAGGTTAATGTGGCTGATGCAGAGTGTGACATTAACAGATACATTAGGGAATAACATTATATTTTATTTTCTATCAATATGAAGTGAGAGGACACTGTCAGAGACATACATGGACTCGTTAACTGTATGGAAAAGGTGCTACTAGATATCTGCATAAAGAATCTATAGGTAGTACTGTAAAGAGGAAGGCATTGTCACTGTTGAACATCATCCACAATCTAGTTGCAAGAAGAGCTTGCAGACAGAGACTAACATAACGATAAATTGAGATGTAACTTATGAAAAGATAGCTATCCCACTGTGTAAATTATCAAACAAAGGGCAACAGGGGTATGGAACAGTTCAATAAATAGTTGGCAATGACTGGAAGATGCATTTGATCTGCTTAAAATAGGTACCGAGAAATGATTAAATTAACAAATTTATCTATTTTATACGTTATAATCTAACTGACCTGCCTACCCTAAATACAGGTTACCATGGCAACCCTATTTAAAATTAATTTAAGATATATATATAATATTTTAGCATCGTATGTGTAATTACATAATCTACATGTTCTGAAAAAATGAAAGGGATATGTGAATAAATTCACAAAATGAGAGCATTTTTATCAGAATATATAGATCGCTCCTTGTATTGTGCTCTCGATATTCCGTATTGTCACTCGTCTTTGTCTCGTACAAATTCAGAATTTCTCGAGCAAAATATATCCTGTATTGCACTTAAAGTCATTCGATAACTTATTGTGTTATAATGATGAACAATCTCAAAACTAAATCCGAATTAGTTTTGATATTGTTCACAATCAATAACGAAAGGAAGGTGTGAAATATTGGAAGCGTCCCTTGAAAAGGGTTCATGGTGCAAAACTGTGTCGATTCATTATAATTTAAAATTTTCAAATACGTACGGTATATAATTTTGAGTGATGTTTTTTTATCGACGAGTTGCACCAGTGAGCGAAGCAATGGATGTTCTACTTTATAGATATCTACGATGATTTCATTTTCATGAAGAACCGAAACATTTGTTGTATTATGTGTTATAATATTTATACCATTACTTGTGATTTGTAGGGTGAGGAGGTCCTATTCTTACACCTCAGTCCGTACATTGTATCAAGACTAGTTACCATTAGACCAAGTGGGACTCTTACGATTCAACCAGGCGTCAAAATTATCTTCACATCAGCTGAAGCTGGAATTGACGTTCATGGTATGCTGTTTTGTTTTCCTGAAAAATGTTGGAGAAATTGAACCAACGTTGGGCATATGTTTCCATAATATTAAACTTTGTTCTTATACACAACATAAGACACTGTAGTTACAGTTCGAATTCCTGTTTCAGGTAATCTCTTAGCTCAAGGGATCGATAATCTTCCTGTTGAATTCACAGCGGATGATGCCGTCTCTGAAATTTCCTCGCATTGGTCAGGACTAAAAATTGTATCCGGTCGTAAGTTTAAATGACTTCTTTCTGGTTAAATATCTTGGGTTATTTGGAATTATTATTTGATAAAATATAACTAAAATAAAGTGTTTTGGTATGTGCCATTAGTATTATATTGCATTTATCCATTTATACAAGTTACACGTTACTTTTAGAATCTTTATACTTAATCGGCTGAAATCTTTGTAGATTCATCATTGAAACACGTATATGTAGAAGGGGCAAATGTGGGTATTCAAGCAACAGGCTACTCCGTAACTCTAGATCACGTGACCATCACAAAATGCGCAGCTGGGATCAAGTACACCGACGGAGGATCATCCGCAAACTTGACAATGATATCTGATTCATACATAGGAAATAATGGCGAGCATGGTATTGAATTTAAAGGGAGCCCTGTCCACCCTTTTCTATCAATCACTCGGACTATTATAACGGGCAGCCGAAGCTCCGGCATATATTGCAGAGACACCCATGCAAATATCTCCATCGAGGACTCGGAGTTGTCGCACAATGCTAAAAGTGGTTTAGAAACGTTTCAAACTGTAGGTTATATCAATATACACAGGTCAGAAATCCTGCGAAATAGGAATAATGGGCTCTATATTTACAGAATAAGTGGGAATACCACTATTGAATCCACACAAATGAAAGATAACTACTATTACACAATATATTATTACGCAGATGATAATTACAGAGGTGGGCCTTTTTTACTGATAAATAATTCTATTGCGGGAGAAGTAAATAGTCGCCAATACCATGCCTTATATTTCGATCCATACTACTTTGATGGAGAAGAAATACTCATCGAAAGAAACACGTTCAAGGACATATCAACCTCTTATCCCGCGTTGCAAATAGGGAATAGGCCTAACTACAAACAGTCTGAATTGAATATAAGAATAACAAATAATGTCTTCAACAACTGCTTCAAATCAATGTTGGTCAGGGTCTTCCACAATACAAACCTATTTATAGAAGACAATATAATGGAAAATAACAGAGCTGATAGTCGATACATCGATGTCCAGTTATTTAGTTCGACTAATGGTAGAGTACATATTGTCAGAAACAAATTTACAAACATTTCTGCATCCACTTGGCTATGGATAAACACGGATGATTTCATAATGGCAAACAATTCCTTCGAACGATTCAAAAGCGTTGATCAATGTGCATTATATGTTTCTGTATCTAAAACAGACTCAATAATTAATGCCCCATATTCCTATTGGGGCTCGTCTGATCCAGGTGATGTGAAACATAGAGCATGTGGGAACAATAGGGATATGAATCTTGCACATGTCACCGTGTCACCTTTTTACACTGACCGCAATCTTACTGAATTAAATGAAGATAAAAAAGTAGATTTCTACTTTACTGATGCAACGGGTGGTATTGGTGGCGTGCTATTGAGCAACGAAACAATTCCATATGTCTTTAATCATACCTATCACGTTCGGCGCAACATCTTTATATTTCCAAATGCTACTCTCACTATAGATTCTGGGGTTAAACTTGCCTTTGACCAAGGCATCGGAATTTACATAATTGGTAAGCTCTTTAATTATTTTACTTTATCGATCCATCTAGAGTGATTGTTGTTATTCGTCATGGCTTTAAAAACATTAAATCGGGCCATTTCTGGGATAACACAGGATTATATTATATAATTCATTACAAAAATGTGATATCGACAAATGATCAGTCTAAACTTATATCGTATTTTTTATTTCGCTTTAGATATTTCACTTATACCGTATATCGGTTCGAATTCCCAAGGCTGTTCAAAACCAATACTTATTTTATCTTTTTTTGTCAAATTTTCAATTGGCTGATATGGGGAGTAACATAAATACATATATGATTATGATGTAGGTGAACTTGTCATCAGAGAGGGTGACAATCATGGTATTACATCGATGAGAAGAAAGAATCCGACTGGAAAATGGGGAGGAATTCGCATAGGATCACCGTCATCTGTGGGTAAGCAATAATGACACCTCTGCCTTATTGTTTCAGTATTTCACTACGTAATAAACAAAAATCAGTTCATTTTACTATTTTCTCTGAGAACCATTGTAACTTGTTTATTTTCTTACTTAAAGGTCTCTTTCTCAATAATGTTCAGCTAGACGGTTCCACGTATGGTATTCACGGCCCAGGCAGGAACATTACTCTTAAAAGTGTAACGATCACAAACACGGACTATGCCATATATGTATCGGATACCATAACCGAATACCTCAATATTGATATTACTAACAGTACGATAGACACATCTACTAAAACTGGAATTTACCTCAAAACGTCAGGTTCAATCATAAGAGATTTCAACTTAACAATGAAGAACGTGGTCATCCGTAACACACGTGGTAGTGGAGCTGTGTATATCAATGGAGTTAGTAGTCACACAAATGTCCAGCTTCGTGGTTGTGAAATTTCAGAATACTCATCATATGCTATTTATGCGTACATTAGCTATGGTATGTTTGAGCTTGGAAACAGCATCATCAAAAGAACTATCAACCGATATGGTTTTGGTGTGCAATACCAAACCATGTGGACCAATTACGGATCAAGAACTATTTCAATATACAATAATACATTTATTCAACACAATTCTTACTACGATTACGGAATGGTTTCTATTAATACACAGGCTTCAAGATCCGGTTTTGAAAAGGCCTCATTTATAGAAATTGCCAACAACACATTTCGATCAACATATCAATCAGAGCAAACATCTGCTATGGTACTATCAAATATCAATTATTTCTCTTCAATCATGATAGAGGGAAACATTATACATAGTATGGGTCGTGTAGCGTGTGACATTGGATTGAAAGCCGGAATTGGAACCGTTGATGTTACTGGTAACGTAATTTCCGAGAGTAACGGAGCTTTATCTCTGACATCTGACTTCACAAGTGGCACGAAAATCATGAATAATCGGTTCCTCTATAACTTTGGAAGCGACAATGTCATAATTAATCCCAGCACAGTGAATAACTGTACTATCAGTTACAACGTCTTCTTGAATAACAGCAACAACGCTCTTACCCTCCAAGGATTCCAATCTGGCACATTGTTGAACTACAACTTGTTTGATAACTTTCTTGGAGAACATAGTTACAACGTAAAGGTATATTATTTTGTTGTAAGTTTTATAATGTTTATATTTATTTGATTTGAGATTCATTTCAATACATTTAACATGATCAAGGCGCTTTCGGACTAACAATTGTACACTTATATGTATGTTTATAGGTAAGTTCTCCAAAAGGCAGCTATGATATAAATTCTAAGTTCAACTGGTGGGGCAGTAAAGAGCAGTCACAAATATCGGCAAGCATATATGACAACAAGAGAGACCCTTCCGTTGGTGTATTAGACATTCGTCCGTATCTTCTCTCACATAATTACTCTGACGTGTCAATTGAAGAAGACTTTTTTAGACAAGATGGAAGTATTGGAGGGGAAATTACGGGGAACGTAACTCTCAGATGTGATGACAGTCCATATAACGTCGCGTCAGACATTGTAGTTATGGAGGAGGCTTCTTTGCTTATTGAACCATGTGTTGTACTCAGATTTTCTGAGAACATTGGTATTAGAGTAAAAGGTGAGCTAGTTGTTTCGAATATGTAAAAGTAATATTTTGTTATTTTAACATCATTTAGTTTCCATGAAAAACACGTTTTCATACGAGTAGTCAGGCATTAATAATGATCTCAGGGCATATTTTAGCGGGGTCACGGTCTCGGCACACGGTACTTTCGGGACGGGACAGAACATTAAAGAAAAATGATGCAATGTCTGATGATGGCAGTTTCACTTTTCAAAATCATATACAGAAATAAAAAAAAACGTCAATTAAAATCTAATATAACGCATCTGTCGCGAATTTGTTCGGCATGACATAATCTGCATGGTGTAATATCACCAATTCGTTTACCTTGTTATATCAAAGTCCCAAAATACTTCCAAACTGCCGACCTTTTCGACTTAGATGCAGGTGTAAAAGGGTAGGAGGTCCTATCAAATTATGATCCTACTCTCCATTGATTTATATGGTGACCTAAATACAACTCTTTCCCTCATTATCTTATACACAATCAGAGCCACTAAGGGCCTTTAAAAGAGGGACCGTAATCTCTGAGGGACCATAATTTCTTTCACACCGGCTCGATTTTTCAATTTCTTTTCTACATCTGGCATACTGATAATGCACTCAATTTGCGAACGACGATGAAGACATTTAAGAACAAGCATTAGCATCTACCTGAAATCGCGGGTCCGTTAAGAACACTTTTCAATGCAAAGAAGTGTAATCTAGGTATGAGGTAAGTGACATATTTTATTTTTTAGAACGAAATCGGAGGTGTTCCTCGCTATTCATTCACGTTTTTATGCATTTTAGGGAAGGAATTTATGTACCGATATCATACCGATATTAACCCTTTCTGTTCCGTGTCCCGAACCGAAGCATCTGGACCGAAATTCGGTCCAATATCGGGAAACTGTGACACCTCTAGCATATTAGTCGATGGCCCAAATGAGATAAACTAGTTTCAAGGTTTTGAAAATTTGTTATGCTGAACTTAATTCTATCTATTTCGAGGTGAAATCCACATGAATGGAACGGCAGGAAAACAAATACAATGCATTCCCCGGACATCTGCCATAAAGTGGGCGGGTATAAGTGTCACGACTGGTAAGTTAAGTATGGATATTGAAATTAAAGCAGATAGCACAATATTCCATAACTTCCATACAGTATCTGACATTGAGTTCATTTTACTAAAGATTTAGTTGCAAACGAAGGAGGACAACTTCGATTGGTAGGTGGAACTACATCGGGGAGACTTGAAGTATTCTATAATGGCCAGTGGGGATCTGTATGTGACGATTGGTTTGATATAAACGATGCTAAGGTTGCCTGTAGACATCTAGGTATGTAACACTTTCTATTGAGCTAGACCTTGTTAAACATTTGTTATATACTACTTTATATAATAAACGGAATTTTATGAAAGACATGTACATGTACGTTGCATTAATTGAAGGTATGAGGGAAGAGGGAGCAACTTTCAGAACAGTTGGTGGTGGTACTGGCCCTATATGGTTAGATGACATGGATTGTGACGGAGGTGAGGCTACCCTTTTTGAATGTAAACACAGAGGCTTTGGAAGCCATTCCTGCAGGCACAATGAGGATGTTGGTATCACCTGTGGTGGTTCATTAAGTACAGCACGTGTTAACCAAGTGTCAACATTGAAACACGTGTACCTAGTTAATACAACTCTTGGTCTTCACATTACAGGAATCATGCCTTCTGTATTTCAAGATGTAGAGTCATCTGGCTCAAGTCAGAATGGAATCACCTTTAATGAGCCTTATGTGATAAGGAACATATCCGAAACTTTGTTGCAAAATATCAAAACATCTGAAAATCATGCCAATGGATTGTTTTGGAAGGTGAAATCTTACAGAATGTCAAATGTTGAATTCATTAATATAGTGTCAACCAAAAATCAAGGATTCGGGCTATATTATACAGGTTCAAATCAGAACATATCAGTGATTGATAGTGTATTGACTGAAAACATGTATGGCGGAGTGCACTCATCCCTTTCAACATCATCATTGTATATTGGGTCTACAGAAATGATAGAAAACAAACACGGAGCTCTATACTCAAAACCTGCATCAGAATCGGAGTTCAATTGCACTATCAGAGACTGCAATGTTGCTTTTAATGGCATTCCGTCGGATACATCAAATAGTACATTTTACTTCAATCCGAATGGACCAAAATACAATGGCGTGTTTTTCCTGAACAATAGGTTTATCCACAATACTGGAGAAAGAATGATTCATTATTATGGGCACAGGGGATACGGGAGTCAGCCCGATGTAATTTTGAGAAATAATACATTGCTTGGAAACAAAGGTGAAATTTTGTTCATGCAATATGTTGGTGACAAGACACGACTTCTATTTCACGACAACTACATAGAAGGGAACAATGCACATTTTGGAAATGGTGCCTTTATACTTTATGGAACGTTGTACAACGTAGGATCATTTAACTTTGACTTAGAGAGAAATGTTATTGTGAACAACACAGCTCAAAGCCTTCTAAAATTTGCTCCGTATAATTGGCACAATCCCTCCCGAAGTATGAGACTCCGACTGGAGTACAATGTGTTTGAAAATAACAATTTTGCAACTTCCATCGATCTAAGTCAAAATATTTATGGAGTAGAAGCACACAACAACATATTTAACAACCCCATTACAGCTTATGAAGTAAGTTCGGCCACGAGAAAACCATTAAGAGGATATCATTTTGAACAAAATTACTGGGGGCCCAGAAACTTTAGTGAAATACTGAAATCATTAAACAGTCACCATAGCAACATTAATCTGAATCGACTGTTTTTTCAACCATACGCAACCAACCGTGAATTTACTGCGTTCAGTGAAGATAATGATGTTGAGTTTTTTGAGACATCAGTGTTTGGAGGGGATGTAGTTCAGAACGTCGTTGTGGAATATAGAACTGAGCCATACTATGTGAAACGATCAATATATATAAGGTAGGCATACGGTGTAGTATATACTATTTCGTTTAGAATGGGTATGTAATGCCACTTTTTATTTAAAGTCAAAGTGCCTTGTTCGTGTACTATTTTGTTTAACCGGAAATGTGCGAGGAGTTATACAGGCTGGGCTGAAAAGTCCATGTCTTTTATTTCCGAACTGGGAGGCCCATTTGTGGGTGAAAAATTCTGTTTTTTGCCTTTGGCCAGTAAAATTAGCAAAGAATCAAGTAGTCTTAAATTACATTGAAGAAACAGGTTCCTTGAAGTGTGGGCTCAAACAAGCACCATAATGATCTTCACTACCACAAATAAGATCTCAGAATACTAGTAGCTTTCCCCGTACCAACAGATTATGTCAAGATGTGAAATGTCCTTGAACCAAGGATGTTTAGAGACGAATGCTATCCCTTGTATGAATATTGTCTACAATTATTTTAATGTCAATTGCATTGGTCATCTATTCTTCTGCATGATTCGTAATGGTTTTCAGAGTGAATGAGTAATCATATGGTCTTGTGGTCTTGCCCCATTTTATCTTTGAAATTTCTAAAATTGGTTTTGTTTGGTTGATTTTATAGAGAAGGTGCTGTGCTGACATTGAAAGGGGGTGTGCACTTAAAGTTTCAAAAAACACAAGGAATCATCGTTGAAGGTATATTTAACGACATTTCTAAAACAGTAACCCTCAAAAAACATTTTGTAAATAGTGAGCCAACCTTGGCTAATGGTCTTAAAATGCTACTAATAAGAATAGTTTAAATGATATCATGGCATGAGGATATATACAACGTTTATAGCATGTATCAATTGAGAATAACATTAGCTAACCAACATAAGACCCCTGAAAATGTAGATTGTAAGAAATATTACAATTCTTTTAAAACAGGTCGTCTTATCATTGATGGAAGTACTGATAGAAAAGTAATTCTTTCGGGAAAAGATGCAAGCATTCAATGGGAAGGCATAGTATTTCAGCGGACAGCGGCAGAAGGTTAACACCAACTGACAACCAATTATATTGTTGTTCATTTTAATGAATAAGCTTAACTAAATTCCTTGTATAACCCCCCTATAACACCAAACTAGTTCTTACCCGTTCTTGCCAGTCCTACGAAAATGTCGTAAAACGGGCTCAATCTGGCTGCGGTCGGGATATATGTCTAAAATAATTAGCTACTTCGTTCATAAACAGTCTTCAATACGTCCATCTCATTCGCAGTTCGTTCAGGTCGCACCACGTCGGTGTGCAACGTAGTATAAACCGTCCCTTAGTCTAGAAGGTCATCATGACCTGATTACAGAACGGCATGGTCGCCATCGAATTTTGAATCGATTCAAAATTCTAAAATCACCTTCCCGTCTGAGAACGTTCACGAAGTTCGCAAATAGTCCTTAGAAAGTTGCAGCTACGTTCATTCCGTTCGTACACAGTTTAACACCAGTTTTGAAGAACGCAGTGGCAACTTGTTTGGTGTGATAGCTATATTTTTGTTTACTCGTTCATAAGCAGTCTTTAATACGTTCTCAATCAGTTTAAACCCGTTTGCGATTATTTCTACCTCGTTCTAAATACGTCGTCAGACAGTTCAACTCGTTGTAAAAACGTCCCTAGTAGGATTGAAGTACGACGGTTCCGTTCGTAGTACGTCCAGCTAGTCTATGGTACGTTGTCACTCGTTCTAATTGTAGAACGTGAGGACCACGAGAGCATTCTGAGCATGTTCTAAATTCTAGAGGACCTACCCGTTCAAGTACGTTCGATGAAGTTTGTAAATAGACCCCAGACGGTTCTAAGTACGTCCAGTCCGTTCGTACACAGTTGAAGCCCGTTTTGGAGAACGTAGTGAGAACTAGTTTGGTGTGATAGTAGGGTACATCCAATAATTTGTGCGTTTTAAAAATCATACATTGAGAAAAACTGAATGTTCCACTTTCATTTTAACAGTAACACTGACCTGATTTCAGCATGTAAAAACGGGACAAAATTTATAATGATTAAGAATTTTTCAATCGATGGAATCAAAAGGGAGGCAAACTACAATTGGGAAAGATGGTACTGTATACATCGCTGTAGAACGGCAACCTATGTATGCAAGTCAGTAGAATACAGGGAGTCAGATGGCTACTGTCTACTGAGTGACAAATCAAGATCGGAAATATATTCCTCAAAGTGGAACAACAATACAAAAGCGTTTGATTTCTATGAACGAGCAGATTGTGAAGGTAGAATTTTCAGCTTCTAGCCTTCTTATTCTTTAAAGTATAATCTACAAAATAAAATCATATAAAAGTACTAATTTTCTTGATCTGTTCTGATCCATTTTAATATGCGATAGAGTGACTGCTTAACGCTCGATGCATCTGATTAGTATATGATTGTTATAATGTGTGTTTAGAACCTAAACCATCTACTGTTCGTCATGTTAACATAACTGGATCAAAATATGGCATGCTGATAAACGATGTCCCAATTGAAGCTTATAATGTGCACATTGAAGACGTTGGCACTGGACTCTACTTTGAAGAAAATAGTTTTGGAAGTAGTATGATTTTTCGTGATAGCAGGATAAGTCAGACAACGGAGAATGGCATACATATAAAGTCTCAGACTTTACGATATCTCGATATGACAGGTAGTGTTGTTGACAGGGCTGGTATGAGTGGTGTACATTTGGGGAAAAATGGTGTGAGACTGATCTTTAGCAATGGAACGATATCTCATTCAGCTTATTATGGGATCCAAGCAGCTTATAGTGCGTTTGTGTTAATGGATGGTGTAACATTTGACTCAAATAATTGGAATGGTGCTTACTTCCAGTATCCGTTAAATCTGTCCTTTATAAACTGTATATTCAGGAATACGCATGGGCAAAATACATATGCAATTTACGTTGAAGGTATGGGTAAAAGCTATGCTGGCTCTTCCCGGTCGCAAGTTACTATGACAATTCAAGATTCTGTGTTTGAGGAAAATTCACGACATGCTGTAAAAGTAACTACTGCAACGCATTATAATGATTTTAATCTGTTGATCAACATCCAAAATAATATATTTCGCAACAACAGTGACACTCTTATGGGTCTTGATTTACATAAAGGAACTGATGTTTACATTCAACGTAATACAATAAAATACAATAAAGGGTCTTCCAATCTTATAGATTTACATCCAATATATTATCAATACGATTACCGGACAGTCAAAAGTGACGTCCACATCGTCGGCAATGAGTTCTCGAGAAACAAAGGTCTAACAATGGTTTACCTACACCCAGACAACGCAGTAAATAATCGAGGCACACTAACTGATAACGTATTCACTGATAACGTTGCATCGCATGGCATTATACGGACAACGTCCGGGAATTATTCGATGCATTACAATATACTAGAGAACCCGTCGAGCGTTTATGAGCTTTATGTCGCATATAATGGCGATGACATCATAAATGCTACGTACAACTGGTGGGGAAGTGCAGTAGAAGCATATGCTGATGAACGCATATTTGATAAAAAAGATGCTATTAATGCTGCAGAGGTAGTTTACGTTCAAATGTTATCAGGAAAAGTATTTACATGCTTTGCTGTGAACAACTGTTCTAACCATGGTGAATGTGTTAGGCCTGATAGATGTCGTTGTGCAGATGGCTGGCAGGGGGCAGAATGTAATCAGGTTTCATGTGAACAGGTAAGAGAGAACCTCGGATAGTTACGTGTCATTGCATTGTAATGACCACTTGGTATGTTTCTTATGTCGAAATTTCCCTACTGTCAGTTGAGATTAAAAATGTTGAAAACTTAGCTAACTGCGAAGGAAGACATGAATGACTTAATTGTTACATTCATACGCGCGTAAAACCTTGGTTACATTTCCTCTACGGCGGCCGTAGCTTCATAAAATTGATACAAAAAATATACAATATACTGCTTATCCTATATTCTATGCTCTGTGTGTATAAATGTGTATAATGACTGAAACATATCCCATCAAATTCATTGAGTGGTAAGAAGTTAAGAACACATTAAGTGAACAAAGCGATTGACCGAAACAATATCAACCGGATGTAAGAAATATCACATCTTAGCTCTTCTATAAAAAAGAGGACTATGATGTCTATACAATAATATTAATTGTGTTCTAATATTGATCATCTAAAGGTCTCTGATTGTTATGGTAATGGCAATTGTGTTGGACCAAATGTTTGCGAATGCACTGGGGGTTGGACTGGAGAGACCTGTGCAGATGCAACATGCTACAATGTAAACAATTGTTCAGGAAGAGGATACTGTTTGCAACCAGACACATGTTCATGTTTTTCTTCCTATGCGGGGAATGACTGCTCACAATGCCAAGATTTGTATTGGGGTCAGGATTGCGAGCCATGCCCGCCATGCGTCAATGGATACTGCGACGAAATATCAGGTGACTGGAATAAGCTACTCGTGTGTGGACTAACTGCTGTATAAAATCATTTTAATTTGGAAAAGTTTTGAAAATCTTGATATCAAATTTGTATGTATCATGCATCATACATGTTTTATATTTTTTAGGTGGATGCACATGCTCATCAATTAAGTGGGCCGGGGAGCTATGCAATGAGTGCAACAGAACATTCTATGGGCCTTACTGTTTACCTCTGCCAACAGTTCTCTTTGTTGCCCCGTCAACAGGGCCTGATATAGGTGGCACTCTGGTCAACGTATTCGGGCATAATTTTGAGAACAGTAGTGATGGTCAGTATAGATGCCGTTTCGGTAATATCGATGTTATTGCTCAGTGGCTATCACGTGATCATGTGCGATGTATTAGTCCAAAGCAAGTTGGCTTAGTTGCTGTCAATGTTGGACAACCAGGAGGCGAATTGACAAATGAGAGAGTAGGTTTCACATATGTTTTTTTTCTACATACTTATGGTATAAGTATTATGTTGATTGTTAATTCTATGACTAATCGATATATATTTTTAAATTCATCCATCTAGGTTACATTCAAGTATCATCCTACATGTCCTAGCAGTGCTTGTGGACGAAATGAAACACCACCTCATGGAATTTGTTTGTTTGGACAATGTTCATGTATTCTACCCTGGGAAGGAGAGTTGTGTCAGGATATAGTAATTGCGCCATTGTTTGAAGAGGTTGATCTCACTTCCGTCCGAGAAGGAAGGAGATTTGAAGCTCAAATGGAAATAAAACAGGTAGTGTGTAATTGGATGGCGATTATGTATTGTATAATCTATGTCCATTTATATCCACATCAATGTATATCATATACCAAAGTAATGTATTTAGGCCCTGGAAGTTCTATATGATTAAAATACAAAGATATAACAATAACAAAAAAGCCAGCCTTATTTTCATCATTTTCAATGCGTAGATATCATTGTAGGGAACTAGACCAGTAACATGGCAGCTGTTAAATGGGCCTTCGGGATTATCTCTTGATCCAAGATCCGGTGTATTGGTTTGGCCAAGAACTTTGGCACAGAAGAAACCTTATGTAAGAATAAATATTATTGGTATCTACAGTAGTTCTTTGAATTATAAGCATAAGAAATATGAAATTGATGAAATGAATGTATACATTATTTAATTTATAATGTCTGAAGTATTATTTTTAGGAGAGATATTTTGTTATTTTTCAGCTCCTAGCTCATATTTGGTACAATTTATCATCAAAACATATGTAAAGCATAACCATTTTTTGTTTCAGAATGTTCGCCTGCGTGTAGAAAATGTTATTGGTTCAGATATCTACACCTTTCAGCTGAGCGTCCCATTAAGCTACAACGTCACAGTGACGTCATTGTCTGTCAGTGGTATTTTGTCACAACCTTCGGAAGTTTACATTTATGGTTACGTTGACCTCTTTGAGGAGAAATGGGAAAATAAAAGAGGAACAGTTCTGGTGCACATTTGGTAATTAGATAATTGTGTCACAAAGCACACATACCACACATTAATTAGTCATAATTCATAGTCTACTATAAACAATTGATAATAAATTAAAGTTGGACTATCGAGCTATTCTCTTTCTTTGTTTAACTGTTCATCTTTGTTCAGATTCTTGCTTATTCACACATGGTTATTAAGTAAATTTGTCTTATTTCTATACGTAATATTAGTGTAATAAACAATGGAAGAACTCGTAAAATACCGGCACTAACCGATCTAGTAGACAGAGGGCGCTATGCAGCAGTATACTACCCGAATCCTGCAGACAGTGGCATATTCGAAGTTGTAAGTATATGCAACAATGTTTCCAAATCAATTAATAAGACCAATATTAACATGCTAAATTAAATTATATAATTATTTATATATAATAACAGGGTGCTCAACACCCATCTGAAGACAGGTGTGATACCCAAGCTCATTGGACAGTGTTGGGAATGCAAGTGCAGCCTGCTTATGCGTATCACAGAAGATTTTTAGATGATAGCAAATTGACTGAAGTGGCCAAGCTGGTTAATACCGGATCTCTACCATTATACAACATATCAGTTCAGGTACACAATGTTTTTGAGTGATGCCAATATTTATGAGTAGATTTGGCAATATTTATGAGTGTAAACGGATGATAGTTAAAGACAGACTATCACATGGTATTACATTTGTTGGTCAAGTTTAACCGTAACGATTATATCGTTTAGACCTTGAAAATTAATATTTTATTTGAACTAAATTAAAACAAAATTTATTTGCATAATAACATTGACAGTAAATATAAAATAATTTCCAGAGAACCAGTGGGTAATCCTATCCGAAATAGCATGTATAGATCATTTAAATATTCCAAAACGAATGCAGTGCCATTCATTTATAATTTTTTGTTTTAGTTGAGAGGATTTGGACCGCCCCTTACAAGTCTTATTGTCAAACCGAGCAACAAGACGACTGCTAGCAATACAATATTTCTTTCTGTGCTAGCCGCTGGTCAAAATGTGCCATTCGACATCGAAGTAGATGCAAATGAGTCTTTGCGAGGGAGAATTGGCATTATATTTACTTCCCAGTCTGGGACAGTCGCTGTATACTGGTTAAATTTAAGGCTCGATGTAAGGACACCGTTGCTTAGAGCGAACCCCAACTTCCTCTCTACAAGTGTGAATAGAGGGGAGCAAAAGAGTTTTGAGGTAAACATGTACCACTTTAATCATGTATGATATCTACTACATTATACGATGTTATACAACAATATTCCGAATCAAACAAAGGTAATATGTTATCATATGGTAGGATGTTAGGGGTATTCTAGTTCCTTTACTTTCTCATAGCCAAATCACTATATTTTCATTTTCGTATTTTATTGTAGATTGATATAAGTAACGAGGGAATTATTTCTGCTCGTGATGTAAGAGTTCAACTAAGTGGCGACCCTTTAATATCTCTAATCTCCTTCTATCCTGAAACAGGTAATTTTCTTAAAATGGATACGCTTTATGAAAAAGGGGTATATTATTAAAGTGAGATTAAAATCTGATATTGTACTTAAAAACAATGTAGTATATGTCTAATCACCATATTTCCTACATTTTCCAAATATTCTATAGATTAGTATTAGTCGCGTTCATTTCAGTTTGAATCCTACTTGTTTTTCATTAAATGTCAAAAGTCAAGGAAAAATACTTACAGACGTTGATATCACTGAACACACATGCATTCTTTAAATTTTACAGAAAATTCCACCGTCAACCAAGATGGAACATTCACAATTCCTGCTTCAACAAAAGCGACGCTGTCTTTATCGATTACCGTACCTCCAACAGAATCCATCGGAGACCGACGTGGTTCAATGATAGTTCGATCAAAACTAACGGAGGCTGTAATTCGATATAAAATCCTTATCACGTCTAGTAATAAAGTTGATTTGAGAATACGAGTAGAAGATGAATATACATATTACACTGATGGTGACCCGTTGGTTGTGGGAGCTAAAGTAAAGCTAAGGAATCCACAAAAGGGAAACGTTATTGAAACCTACACGACCTCAAACAGCACAGGTACATGTACTTCTGCATAGCTTTGTTCTACTTCTTCTTCCATCCTCATTTTCAACCGATTTCGACTCAATTGTGATATATTCCGTAGATTTATTTCAAGGACCACTGAAAATCTTAATACAAATATTTTGCAATAGAGCTGCTGTTTGATGATCTTGAAGAGGCATACTACACTTTGCAAGTGAGTGCAGACAGACATACGTCATACAGTGCTGTCATTCTGGCATCTCAAGCCAACCCAAATGTGACAGTTTTCCTACAGAGAACGGCAGTGAAGTATAGCTGGACTGTGACTCCTGTTACGTACGAAGACAAATACATTATCACGTTAGATTCAACTTTTGAAACCAAGGTGAGGAATTATTAAAGTAATAAAGAAGGAGTATATATAGATTTGCATCTTACTGTTTATATGACCTATTATCATCATTACATTCTTAATGATAATTCATTTAAGGTACCAATGCCAGTTGTTACAATCGAACCACGACAGATAGATCTAACTGCTTTGGAAGAGGGGGAAAAAGATGAAATTGTATTTACGATAACGAACCATGGATTGATACGAGCACAAAACCTTAGATTTGCACTTCCATACAATCATCCTACACTTGATTTCAAACAGGTTAACACCATTGTGTTTTATCTAAAATAATATTGCTCAAATTAAAAGGGAAAGAAACAAAACTGAATTAGGCTCAAAGGTCTATAAAGGAATATTTAAAATCTCAACTGGTCTAAAGGATATAGATTTTAAAATCTTAGTGTTTCAGGTCTAGCTGTTTAAGATTTCTGGTGGAAGTCCATATTTACATTTTAGAAGAATATATTCAAACAACTAGTTTATATTACTATGTTTATATCTTATATCAATTGTATGTTGTTTTGCAGACAGTTACCAACATCGGCGACATCGAGGCCAACACAACTCTTATAGTTCCAATAAAGATTCATGAGAAACCAAGACAGAAAAGGAACTTTCTCTTGTGCTTAGCCTTTGGAATTAAATTGTTCTGGGACTACTTGTGTGGTGTTCTCAGGACGAATAATCTTGATGTCATGCTGCAGCGTCGCCAAGAGATGTCTCGTATTCCACCTAATGTATGTGGAAGCGACAAAGTACCAGAAAGAGGGGGTGGCTATATAGGTAAGTGACACATTGGGTCAGCTTACGCAAATGGAGAAATATGCAACACTACTGCTATTACGACACACTTGCTTTTCCCACAAAAAATGTTAAATGCATATGCATACATAAGTATCAAGTAGCAAGTAGAGGAGTTCCTATCAGATCATCTTCATGTACCAAGAACAACAATCTACCAGCGTGTGTAACTATTAGGATGTAACGTGAATGTCATGTGACTGAGACAAGACACTAAATCCTACAATGCGCCCTGCAAATTATGGCTAGGTCACATTTGCGCCGTGCGCAGGCCGATTAACAGGAAATGTGACCAATGCAAAGATATGATATGTATATACTTTGATGTAATTTCCCAAACCATTTTTTCGTAAAAAAGCGTGTCCATACACACTGTAATTTGTAGGAGGTGGAGGAGTTCCTGGAAGATCAACTGTTTCTACCAGCGTACGTAACTATGAAGCTGTAACACCAATGTCATGTGACTGTGCCCTAAAACTAATTACTGACTGCCTGCTACCAATGTCGCCGGGATTTGGACCATTCTATTCCCTTGGACGAAAGGCATATGCACTAGGAGAGGCCATTGCTAGTGACAAGTATGTTAATTCTCAAATTGATCTGTAAAATGTACTAAAGTGCATTATTTTCCCGAGATTATTTTACTTTGATGTGACAGATTCATGATCATTTGTTATATATTTTTCAGACGTAAGCGTCGAGATCTTTATGGAGAAACAGTACATGCACATGACTATTACTATCCATTAACGCGACAAAAAAGAAAGAAAAGAGATATTGTCGATGTGGCAGATGCTGCTGCATCAATTAGTTCAAAGTATGGTTGTGCCAAAGCAATAGGAGAGGCTGCAGGTAATAAAGCCAACCAATAGTGTAGGAAAATTCACTGGAACATTTGTATAGCCTATATATTAATATATGTTGTACGCATATTATGGCAATGAGGGATGATGAATGAATTTTGGTTAGTCAATAAATCAATAAACAATCTTAACAATTGTGAATTATCTGACTTATGCACGTACGATTTATAAAGGCAACATCGAGAAGAACGATGATCAATTTTAGAATGGAGCTTTGAAGTGAACAGAAAACATAAAATTTTATCATCCTAGAATATCCCAATTATTCTTTTTATCAAGGCTTGACAAATACAGGCGCTGATATCGACACGATTGCTTCTTATATTGAACCACACGAAGGGATCAGAACCACAGCTTATGAAGACTCTAAATCATTTGTCACGGTTGGTAAGTCGCTTTTCTATAGAACAACAAATCACAACTCTGTGCCATATTCATCAGTCAAACATAACTTAATCGTTTGAACAATAATTACTTCGATTTAAGGTGATTTAAACGTAAGTGCATATACAATGAAAGGACCAGGTTTAGTATGGCAATCGATTTTAGATTTTGAATGTCGAGTTTTGAAGATATCAATTTTCGATGACCAAAGTATGCTGGAAACAATGGATAGTACAAGTGGGAAAATAACAAGGGTTATGTGGTTTTTAATTTTGCCGCGTTTCAATCCCCATTCCCTTTTAGAAGTTAATACAGTGTAGAAGAAACTTTTGGTATGTTTGAATTGAAAAAACAGGATCCTCTGTTTATAAAATGACTCTTATACTTTTAAAAAGTAACAATATGGAGTCCTAATCCATACTTTTTCAAAGAGTTGGTTGATGTTTTTATTTTCATAGGGACTTTAATTGAAAGAAAACACATTGTTTTAATAAAATCCATTGTATGGCCAGAAAGTACTCATGGTGAAAGATATGACTGTCCAAAATCATTACTCAATCTGGTCTTTTCAGATTTGAACGTTATTATTCGAATTCCCTGATGTAGGGTTCCACGCCAAGGTTAAAAAGGAATTTGCACATTTCAGGCTATCAATAATCAAACTATAGTAGTAGTTTCACTCTCAAATTTCAGATGGGCATTTTGTAGGCTAGACGTAAATCTAATATTATGCGGTTTTTAGGGATAGGGTTCAATATGGAAAGAGATGGCGCAAGAGAAGATTGGAAAAAGCATCTTCCCGATGTTGATTTTGATAAGGTCTTTAAAAAAGAATTAAGCCTGACTGATCCTCAAGCCAGAAAGCTGTTTCAGGTTTTTATATTTTTGTATTTTTTTTCTTTCGACGCGTTTTAGTTGAAATTGTTAAAAAAATATCGCCTACGTCGGCAAAAAATTAAGATCACAGAAATGGCCTGTACATTTTCAACGAGGAAAGTTATTGCCTAGGTCTCATTCAGAATTCATCTGTCAGACATAACCTAAACGTTTGAACAAGCATTACTTTGATTAAGGGTGATTTAAACGAGAAATACATACCAACTGCAAAACGGCTCATAAATGACTTTGAAAGAATGCCCAGTGAGCTCCAGGGAGCTATAGTAGACGCTTTATACAGGGGTGATTTAGGCCCAAAGACTCAGGACCTGATCAACCAAAAGAAGTGGAAAGAAGCGGGGGAGGAGTATATCGATCACGGTGACTATAGAAAAGCTTTGCAAGGCGTAGAAGGCTATCGTGGTATCAAAACTAGAATGGATGAGAACAAGGGAATATTTCAGAAACAAGGTATGTAGTTTATGATATATCTTACATAATGACGCGTAATCCTAAATGTGATTGATGTCCAAACCTATTGGATATCACTTTCACAAATCTTGACAATTACTCTGTATGCTAGTCGGTTCGCCTATTTGATAATTGAAAGAACAATAAAAATCATAATAGTAACTGGGCAAAGCGAGATGCTAGTTTTGGCCATCACTTTTAAATTTGTTATTCAATTCCATCTCAACATCTTAGTTTAATATCATTTTACCAGGTCTAGTGTTAACATGTTTATAGAGTATAGCATAAAGACCTAGGTTGCTCAAGTAGTATCAATGTAATTTTTAAAGTCCTTCATAACACAGGTGAACCAGCTGCGGGAGAAAGCATTGTGAACAATGCCCTTAAGATCGGAGGTGATTGCTTACCTGGTGCTATTGGACAATCCGTAGGGTATGTTTTCATACCTCGATTATTACACTTTAAGTACGCTTACCCATAAGTTCATGCCAAGACAATGTATTGTAGTTTGTCTGGCATCGTTGCTATCTCCAGACAGCTACATATATTTTGTGATATTTATCTTTTTCATGAAAGAATGACTTCATCATATTGTTATTTTTTAAAAATATTTGTAGCTGTTTACATGTCGCCACTACTGAGTGTCCGAAATTGAATGATGCCGAAGCGACAGAAGGTGGAACTAGAAGAAGACGTTCACCAATTGAGGATGTGCATGTCAATATGGCGAAAGTTAATTCCATAGTTTATGATATGTATCAACTTTCCTACCATTTGTATGGAAACATAGAAATGTAAGCATAGCATCCGTTGGCTGGCTATTGTTTTTTAACTTTTAGGATAAATTTAGCGTTCATACTCGTTTGTTTCTTTATTAATGAAAATACTTAAAAATGACAAAAATCACTAAACCTGTACAGGGTGCCAATAATTAAGGTGAAAGATATTGTAACTTTCTTAATATTGCATCAATCTTGATGAAATTTTCAGGGTTTGTAGCCCAAACCTTTTTACCTTTATTCTTTGAATTTAAAGCGTCTTCTATTTGATTGGCCAGAGTTGTGGTTGGTATAGCAACCGAAACAACAAAAAGGCGGGGCAAGTTTGTTTACGTCACAACTTTCCAAAACATATTTATTCTTTCTGATAACTTTATTCATACTTCCAGGTCTATTACAAATACAATATAAAAACAGTCCTAAAGTCCCATTGTTATGAAAATAAGCATAACATAATGTATAGCACAACATAATGTCCATATCTAGCTATACACTTCTTATATGTCTTATGCCTTTTCATCCACTCTCTAAACACACTTTCAAACCTATTCTCGCCCATTTCCGAAGTCTTGCTAAGACATGTGATCGGAGTTCATCAGTGCTTCCAAATTTATTTCCTCTCAAGTCACGTTTGAGTTCTGCATATAAGTAAAAGTCATTGGGTACAAGGTCTGGGGAATATGGAGGGTGTGCAAGTAGGGGTAGCCCCAGTGCCCTAATAGTTTCACTAGTGAGCATAGCTGTGTGTGAACTCAGATCAAATGTCTTCAGGAAGACTTCAGGACATGGGCAAGAATGGGTTTGAAAGTGTGTTTAGAGAGTTGGTGAATAGGCATAAGAAGTGTATAGCTAGAGATGGACATTATAATATGTTGAATAGCTTATTTTCATAACAATGGGACTTTAGGGCTGTTTTTATATTGTATTTGTTGTAGTAATAGACCTGGGAGTATGAATAAAGCTATCAGAAAAAATAAAAAAAATAAATATGTTTTGAAAAGTTGTGACGTAAACAAACTTGCCCCGCCTTTTTGTTCTTTCGGTTGCTATAGCAACCACAACTCTGGCCAATCAAATAGAAGATGCTTTAAATTCACAGAATAAAGGTAAAAAGGTTTGGGCTACAAACTCTGAAAATTTCATCAAGGTTAGTGCCAATATTAAGAAAGTTACAATATCTTTCGCCTTATTTATTGGACACCCTGTAATTCTAAAATCATGCAACGGCTTCTTATCCGTGTTCAATAGGTTCAATCTTGGTCTTGGACTATGGTATCAAAAGTTCGAAGAGAGTATATCTGACAACAGTGACCTAGGAACATCTTTATCGTTAAACGAATCGTCGAATGTATTACAATACATCAATGAGACACATCATATGTTGGTGTCTGGGTTCCTCCGGAGATGGAACAATTCTGTTAACTCCTGGAGAAATGGTGTCATGGAACCATCGCCAAATCTTGATATTATATCTAAATCAATGCTTGAAACCACCATGCATAAATTTAAAGAGGAGCACCAAAAATCTGTAGAGGTGAGTCAGTTTCTGACAAACAAATTTTCATTCATGCTAAATGTGTCTGGAAACCCAATTTAGCAATTGGATTTACTTTTCAGAGAGGTTTCGATAACGTGTTTGCTGAGTTTGACAACGCATACGTGGCTGTTAGGGATGAGTTTGAAAATAAAAAGGTACGTGAAAATATTACATATACACCAGATGAGGTGTATCAGTAATTAGAATAACATTAACGAATTAATTGTACTAATTAATGCCTCGTGTGTCATAACGTATAAACTATTCAATGATCGGTTTTCAGAAAGAAGATGGCGTATGTGCTAGAGTGAGAATACGAATAGTTCAAGAGGCAGTTCTAACACGAGATGCATTTAATGGAAAGCTTGAGATTGAAAATGGCGAGGGATCTCCTCTAAAACACATCAAGGTGGAGATTTACATCTGGAAATCACAAGATGTTAACCAGAAATATATGATGGAACATTTTGCCATAGGTATTCTCATGTTCAGTATCCTTTATTGTGATAAAGTAAAATTGCTTCTTCATTTTTATTTTAGTGACATGCATAATCAATGGTCTTTTGTAGTTGTATCTTGTCATTACTTGTTGTCAGGTGATCCAGAATTAAGTGGTATTAGTTCAGTGGATGGTTTTGGAAGTCTGGCTGAGGGAATTTCTGGAACTGCTGAATGGTTGATAATACCTTACTCAACAGCTGCACCGTCGGAAGATGTCGTGTACGATATTGGTGGTATGTTCTACTACTCGGTAGATGGATCCAATTTCACGGCCCCTCTGCTTGCTGATAGTGTAACTGTGAAACCTGACCCACGACTTCATATTCATTACTTTCATGAGAAATATGTAGAGGCTGATGATCCATTTACAGAGCTTGTAGTTGAGCCCTCGATTCCGTTTAGCTTGGCTGTTATGATAACAAATGTAGGTAATGGCGTTGCAAAAGCATTTAAGATAACTTCAGCTCAACCTAAGATAATAGAAAATGAAAAGGGATTGTTGGTGTCATTCAAGATTATTGCAGCACAGTTGGGACATGAAGATATATCACCATCCTTGACGATAGACTTTGGCAATATTGAGCCTCATCAAACAAAGACTGCCCGCTGGCTTCTGGAATGTTCTCTAAAAGGAAAATTTTTCAACTATTCTGCCACATTTGAAAATATTAATCCCCTGGGTGACCCTGAACTTTCGGTGTTAGATGTACTCGAATATCATGACTTGATTCACCTGGTTCGAATGCGATATAATATGACACAGTCTGATGACGGGTTCCGGGATTTCCTTGTTAATGATGAACTTGATGTATTGGACATGCCTGATGTTGTTTACAATAGCAAGGACCAATCCAAAGAGCCAGTGTTCGTGAGTCCGAATGTAACATATGAAAGAGTGAACAAACATTGGTCAGGTAAAGAGTATAAATACATGTACGTCAATGTCCCTCTTAACTGGAATTGTACTGATTGGCTGTATGTACGTTTTGAGCATGATATTCAACTAGGTGCTGACAGTCACTTACTTCAGGTCACAAGACATGACAGAAAGGAACTTATAAGACCCGAAAATGCATGGATGACATGGCATGTAGAGGATTCACTATTCGGACATTTGTTTGACCATTGTCCATGGGTCCAAGACCAGTTGTTTCACAACTACACATTTATTGTTGGTCCCCTCAATAAGCATGATCCAAAAGTGAATGAGTCAATCACATCAATTGAGGTTAAACTCCCAATATATGACAAACAGTATATTTCAACTATTGTTGCAACTGATACAGACAGTGATGGTATCAAGTTCAGCTTGGTTGAAAATTCCGTCTACTTCCAAATTGATAGTAAAAGTGGTGTAATCACAGCAGTTCAATATATTGATTCCTTGGTTGGCGAACAAGCTATTCACGTTGCAGTTGAAGATGATGGGATTCCACCAAGGAAAAGTATCAGTGTTATTGATGTAATATTTGAGACAGTTGTCACGAGTATGACAACAAGAACTATGACATCTCACCAAACAGCCGAAGTTACAAATGCAAAAATCTATACAGAACCAACTACAGTAACATCTGCTGCTATTACAGGCAAAGTATCAAGTACACCTAACTACACAGCCAAAACTACAAATGCAACAATCTTTACAGAACCAACTACAGTAACATCTGCTGCTATTACAGGCAAAGTATCAAGTACACCTAACTACACAGCCAAAACTACAAATGCAACAATCTTTACAGAACCAACTACAGTAACTTCTGTTAATACAGAAAATGGATCAAGTACACCCGACCACACAGCCGAAACTACAAATGCAACAATCTTTACAGAACCAACTTCTACTGCTAATACAACAACAAGAGCAACAACATCCAACCACACAGCTGGAACAACGGATGCTTTAACTACTACAGAACAAACTCCGGTGACAGCTGCTGGTAATGCAACAGCACGAGCAACAACATTCGATCTCATAATTGAAACCACAGATGATATGATCAATACGGAACGTACTCTGGTTACATCTGCTGCTAATACATCCACAATAGCAACCACATCCGATCATACAGTTGGTACCACAGACTCAACAACGTTACATGGTACAACTACCAGTGATGCAACAGGTACAGCCAAGAGCACAGCTGGTAGTGCAACTGATATCCAAATCAATACTACATACTCAGCGACTACAATTCTTGGCTCTACGTTTGAAGATACTTATTCCACAGCATCTCGAACAATAACAACCGCAAGACCCATAGTGACTTCCAGTTCAATGACTCCCTCCAAAACTAGTAAGTACAATGGGGTATATAGTACAACATTAACTCCATCTATTGTCAATAGTGTATTGCATACAGATTAGCCGTTACATTAATCTAACACAAAAAGTAAACAACAAAACAAAGAGTAGTTTCTTGTGGTGAATAATTATCTGTATCATAGGCAAATCATTCATTTTATATCAACCATCAACCCATTTAAATTCTGGAAAAATGGCTTAGTCACGCATTTTATAATTTCAGCTGGATTGCTTTCTCTGTTGTTAACGTTGAATATGCTTTGGAAGGCCGTGTTTAGTAATTTCAACGCAACTGAAACAAGCGCCTTGGTGAATTCAATACTGTTATTGGTAAGTCATTTCAGGGTCCATTTTGTTGACAGAAGTGAGGCTTTATTTTCACTCTACACTACCAAGTTCGCGCATGCGCGAGATTTTTTGTTTTAGCCAGGGCAATTGCTACTCGAACAACGTAGTACGTTTGGTGTTATGGATGGGTCAATATTGTTATTCGCTGAACTTCAATGGTGAAATAGTGAAGTACATGCTCAAAACTATACGACTTTACAAGGAAGAATATAAATCAAATTGTTTTAATTTTTTTCAAATATTTGATATGTCATAATACAAGTCATCGGATCTGAAAAGTTGATCAATACAAGACACGGGCAATGTAACCTGTTCAAAATGTTGAAAATTAGAAAAATGTTGCCACCCATGAAGCAAATCAATTTTTACTGTATAGAAATGGTGAATGACAGCCAAATTAAGTTTTATAAGTATGAGAATAGCACGACGTCTTGATATTTCAAAGTAACTCGTTTGAATAGTGATGGCGGTGATTGAAAAAACGATGTAAACCCTGGAGAGTTGTTCAATAATGCCATACTTACTTAACAAACTGTGTTTTTGCTTACTTTTATGTTCTTTCTCTAGGTTCGAGCTGCGTTCAAAGAAATGGCAAATATTCTCAATATCACTGTTGATGGTTTAAGGTTAGTAAAATCAAAAGGATAATTTATATTTCAATATTACTAATATGCCATGTAATTTCTAGCCAATTTTAAATATACATCGTTGTCCAAAATTGTATATAAATAGTAAGAATACATGATTTATAATAGAGCAATGATAATGTTAAAAAAATGCCGCCGTTTTACCCTATTTTTATAAATAAATATTTGTAAACCCTTAGTCCAGGAAGTGTAAAAGTGAAACTAGGGATTGTGCTAACTGGGAAGGCTGACAATAAAACGGCAAATCAAACCAGTGATGTTTTGAAAAAACACTTGGAGACTGTAAACTACACGATCGTAGGAGAGAACCAAAATATTACTATCAAAAATGATAGTATTGTTGTTAGTAAGTACTCAGGAATGGAAATGCAAACTAGTTGTAGTAGTGTTTTTAAATTTGATACGTCATACTGCAACATCATGAAATAAAGTTATATGTTAATCGATTGCCTCGTTGTGTCTATTCAAAAGGAGCAAAGCAAAACCTAGAAATCATGCGATGTTACCATTTCCTAGTTTTTGCGCGTCCACGTTATTCCAACCCGTGATTTAAAAAACTAAAAACAATTGATTTACTGATTTATAATGACTTTAAAATAAAAATGGGTTGCGATGTTTATACTTGTTTCTTTATCGAAATTAGTGATTTAATTTGTTGACTTATGATTTGTATTTCCCCTGATGCTAACATTTGTCTATTTAAGGCGTAAACCCTTGTCAGAACATCGACTGTGGTGTAAATGGAGACTGTGAATATGTCGATCAGAAAACTACTTGCAAGTATGTTGTTCCAACAACTGTTTTTTACAATCCATTTTCATTAATATCGACAGTGTTGTTTTGTAAGACAAGGACGGGTTGTACACTTTAAAGTGTGAATATTACCTAAAAAATTAAAAGATATCTCAGTTCTTTAGTCTGTTGGTCACTTTTGAGACGCTTGAAAGCCTTACAGAAAAATCAGCAAAGAAAAAGAACAAAATGTCCATCCAAAACCTTGATGCAAGAGCGTACTTGGACCGAAATCCTGCCTATAAAACGACTGATGCCAAATGGCTACACTTGTTGGATTTACACTAGCGCGCTAAGACGTCTTAGCTAAAACGTTTTAGCGTTAAAACGTTTTACCAATGTAATGTAAATCCAGATTTACTCAAGAGCTCTCGGCTAAGAGCGCTTAGCTAAAACATCTTAGGACCCTAGTCATCATCCTTCTTCAAAGGACTTCATTTATGCCTAAATTCATATATACTTGTAAAATACCCTTGCAGCAAGGATGCTAGTCATAGACGTCTTAGCATTAAAACGTTCAATAAACGTTGAGATCAACTTATTTGCCTGGCGATTTATCATAATCCTAATTTATGCATAAAATCTTCCTGCTCTCTTTCATGCTTTTAACAATGCTGTCTTAAGGACATATTTTTCTGAAACCAATGCATTCTTTAATACAAAGTCGGGTACAAAGTATATGAAGCGGGAAAGGAATAGCTATATTGACTGAACCGTCCTCAACCAGTACTGAACTGCTTTTGTCATTTTACATGTATACCTACATATCTCTAAGACGTTTTAGGAAAACAGGTGTAAACTCGATCTTATTTCCCAAGACGTCTTGAAAATGGTAATGTAAACTCAACTTAATTTTTCTAAAACGTTTTAGCCAAAACGTCTTGGAATGCTGCGCGTAGTGTAAATTGGGCTACTGTTACATGGAATACTAGACCTATACAAGAATCAACAGACTCCATCGTGATAAACAGGAAAACAAAGCGTTGCATGTACAGCTTATATTTTATGCATAGTGTTTATGTGTACTTATAGGTGTCATCCAGGCTACCAAGGTCCTACTTGTGGGGACCGTATGGTTGGAGAATCGACCAATATCATCATTATAATAGTGTGTGTGGCAGTCGGTGCTTTATGTATCATAGTGATTGTTGTTGCATGCTACTTTGCCATGAAGAGGAGGAAACGAGTCAAATCGTCTTCTAACACAAATGATGATAAGAATGTGTTTGGATACAACTCTACAATGCTACCTAAACACCATAGATTCAAGTATGCCCTGATATATTTATATGTTGAGAGTATGGCATTTAGCCGTTCTTGAATATAGTATGTCATGCTTTTATCTATATACATTGAGAAACCTAGTCTACATTCTCATAAAAAAATTTCACACAGAGCGAGGAAAGATATATCGAATTCCAGCCAACCAAAACACGGTATTTCTAATAACTTTCATTCCTGGATTAAGAATTTTAACCCTAGACTCAAGTGCATTGTGGTAGTTATCATTAAAGGGTTTGTTTCAAGCTTTAAACGAGATACATAGCATCGAATGCGAGTGCTAAGTATAGGAAACAACGCCTGAATGTAATAAATCAGCCACCGTGAATTGAGTTTTGACATATTTTCAAGTAAACTTTTTGCAAGCTGTCACCTTGATGAGTATGCAACACTTACTATTTCACCTGTATAAGCAGCTTGTTATTTCCTATTATAATAATTTTTATAGAGTTTTACTCAACTATGAAATTAATCAACTAATCGATTTCGTTAGTTTCACGAGAATCTAAAAATGGCCTAGGAGCATTTGAATGCTTGGCTTGTTTTTGATTCAGTGAAATTAAACTAAACTACTAAGTTGAAATTATGAAATTGATTAAACTAAATCTTTTTCATAATTTAAAGTCGGTAGTTGATTAAACACTTAAAGATAGTATCATGAGGGATAGCAAGTCAAGTGCCAATAGAGGTCAAATCTCAAAGGGATAACCTTGACCTAGTTTTGACCATTTAACCGTAAAAATCCTTGAAAAATGTTTCCTTGCAAAAATTCATTCTTAAAATAACATCAATTATTTAAAAAGTAGACTCAATTGTGGATGATTTCATTCAATGTCCTGTATCCGAGACGTTGCTGCAATGTCGATCTTTCAAAGTCTGGAAACAAACAAACGTTGTTATATCGTCATACATGTACAATTCATTGTATCCTGGACTATAATCCTTTAACCCCCAATCATAATCCATCTGCAATGTATATCAACTTGCATATTTGCGAAAGGTTAATCGATGGTCTCTTGATAATCTTGCAGTTCACCACCCCAGTCTGCTGAATTAAGATCCAGCTGGATGGGTCGCCTCTGGGTGGACGAAACAGATGATCAGCGATGACTGGGGACAGAAGTCGACATGCATCTTTGTTCGGTTATTCTACTGCACTGCTTGGAAGATTACCAATTTTATATGAACATTTTACGTATTGACTTAACATGAACATTCTGCAACTTAGTACTATGCTCGTGATGATATGTGGATATATAAGGGAGAATAAATTTATGTATTTGGATGGAATGCTTATATTCTTTATCACAATTTATAGTTGGATAACAAATGATCAGGAAAGGCCAGTAGTGCCAATAGATCACAAAGGCATGATCTTGATCTTGTAGTTAAAAATACTTTGCCTTTGCCCTCAAACTTTTTTCTGGGCCCACCCATGGGGGGGGGGGCATGCCACATCCCTGGATTCGCCAGTGTAACTAGCTCAAGAATAAACATAAGTGCTACATGGAATACATTCTTTTGTTTAGTTTTTCAGTGGAAGTAAAACAAATCCACCACAACAGCTAATGCTGGAGAATAGTCTAATAAATGGGTTATTAGACAGTACATAGTAATGTGCCATAATTACGGAGAACATTATATCCAACCGTTAATCAACAACCGGCGACTTACTATGCAGTCTGTTTCCATCAATCATTAAAGCACGTGTACATTTTCAGCGAATATTAACCCCATCCCTTCCGACCTAGATCTTGTTCCTAGCGGTATTGTGCGAAATTGTAGTGTCACCAGGATAGCCGCGCGATTCTTAAAATGCTTTCTACAGAGTCGTTCTTAACATTTTTTAGTGTAATTCCAGTGAGAAAGTATAGAGACATAAAGGAACAAGAAATTTATCGTCACGCAACAACCGACTGGCTTTGTTTTATTTAAAAAATATTAAACAGAAACATAGAGCTTGTTCCTATACTACTCGTATAAGGTATAGAGTTAGTTTTGCGAAGTTAGTTGACCATTTTTACAGTTTATCGGTCTTTGGGAAACAAATATTGCAAATAGGTTGACACATCGAGATCAAGCGTTAAATACATACAGATCTATCGTATGTATGGTATTTTAAACTAAGATAATGATTAATAAAATCTGTTTATGCAACAACCGGTGTCTTTTTCTCACCATTTGATTAGGATCCAGCATGGTTTGTCACTTCCTGTTTTGTCATTTCCTGTTAAGTACCACGGCACCTTAATTTCTTGACATTATAGGCGTCCATTCAATGAGTAACGCAATAACATAATTCATCATTTTGTCTCATATTTGTTCCAAAGTTGCAACATGCTTCGTGAATATGAATGTTTAGTTGAAAGTTAATATCAAAAAATTCCATAGACCTATAGGGTCATGCTGCCACAATTCTAATGTAATACAGTAACTGACCAATCATCAAATACAAGAAGTCATACTCCATTCAAGGGAAATGAACTCTATCGAAACGGTCAGGGGTTATATTCAAAAGGATGTGAAAGGTGGCGCCCAAATGTGCGGGATGCGATCAGAGTAAGTCCCCAATCTTTTCAAGAGGCCCAAATTGCCATCTCAGAGGCCCTTGAAAAGCCGAAGAACAATTCACATTTATTTCAAGGATGGGTCAAGAGGCGTTTGACCGGGTAAAGACATTAAAACGGTGTCAGTATGATCATATCGCTGCAAGGGTTCAACAAACTGGGGCTACTAATCCACTACGGTTAACAATGGAATGGCCAAAAACCAAGCTTGTAAAAACCAAGCTTGTATTCGCGAATGCAAATAACCACTGGTCAGTATCAAGCGAAGGTAACGGCCGCCACCTTCGCATCAAAGATGGCGGACGGGGAGTGTCGATTCCGATATTTTTAGTTTTTATCGAATTTAACTACATAGTTGACGCAATACTTTGATATTCGAACTAAACCCGCATTTTTGACCTACCAGATGTTTGAAAATCAAAGATTGCGAGTCTCATACTGCACCGTTTTTCAATTCAAAGCATAACAAAAATGCCGTTCTGTCGGTACATTATTCTGTTATACAGAGTCCCTATACGTTCTGTGGCATAAGGGTCCCCATCTGTGAGAAGGGCTTCTCACAGCTGGGGACCAAAGCGCTGCTAAAACGAGGGACACTTTACAATAAAACGATGCACCGACAGAAATATTTTTTATGTATCATAAAGTGTTTTGTGTGACGACCGTATCGTTTGCCTTATATGAATAATGAATATTAATGATTCGCGCAATCTTTATCCAATCCGCGTTTGCGATGCGAATCGGCTCACGTATAAAAGGTGAATCCAACTCCAGATCCATGCAGGGGTGTATGAGGTACTTGAATGGGAAAGAGCTCGTTAAATCTGAATTTACATGCACATTGGAAGTGTTTACACATGTTTCGAGTTATTGAAGAAAATGTGATATGGGGGTGGTTCCGAATTTGAAGTCATTGCTGGAAAATATGATTTTAATACGTGAAATTATATCTATGAATACAGCGCTAAAATAACAGTACACATGAAGTACATGCATGATTGTGTCCAGAAATGTTTGAAACCCTTGCGGAAAACTCTGTCTGCATTTTGTCACCATTGCTCTTTCTTCCCTCATTCTAGTGCTATTTGGATGAATATATTTATGAATGTATTTCTAACTAAAATATATCAATTTTTTTTATAAACCACAAACATTTAGATTATAAAAAAATATACTTGAGTGAGCACGATATGCAAGGGTTACTAAGATGACACAGTAAATGATTGAACGAAAAGGCAATTTAGGCCATAAAAAGTAGATTCTTTGTTTTGCTTTCCCTTGCTTGCACGATTTTGAGAAAATCAGAAAAAACAAACACATCCAAGTAGCAATCACAGGGGTCTGAAAGTACCATCGTATTTCGTTCAATCGGAATCAGAAATGATGGACAATTTGATGTGCGTCAAAATTGACAGTGTCATTGATTACTTTGGCATACACTGTGTACTTTCTTATTTTAGTTACTTTTGAATAATAGCTATGTTTAAATATATTAATTGTATATGATGTATAGATATTTGTTTGTAATCACTGCAGATTGGTTGCCATCCCTTTTTATACCCATAAAATGTATACATTTTTTAAGCAAATAAGTTTGTGTTTTTTCTTGACTATGTGTTTGTTTTCCATGTACCCTTCCGTGATTTGGAATTTGCCAGGACGCAAAACAAAGAATCTACTTCTTATGGCCTTATCGTCTGCTAATATACATTTGCTAACACCCCTCACTTTCATTGTGAAGTGCCTAATTGGTTTATGTTTACGTTTTAATGTGTTTTGTGTTCCTTGTTCCAGCAAGGGGGGGGGGGCAGTAAAGTAGACTAACATGTTTGCATGGCAAGTTTTGATCGAATATGTGAGACACTTTAAGTAGGTGGATCCCGTGGTTGTCTGCGGTCCCAGACCGAGGTATCGCAGATTGTGGTCAGTTGCATTCTAAGCCAGCACATAGCGAGCAACAGTTATTTCACGTTATATCCAACTCACTGAAGTATTACTGTTTTATTTCATTATCATTATTTGATATTAGTATTTGAAATGTACTGTACGCATTACTATATTATTATTTGAAATGTATTGTAAACAGTATTACTATATATTCATATTATTGGACATGGAATTGTACTTAATTGTTAATTGTTAAAAAGCCGTTATAATTAGCAATTGAGCAGAGCAAGGGAAGAGACACAAGGGCAATTTTGTTTTGCTTTGAATGGAACAATTTTGAAGAAAAACGGTGCAGTATGAGACGCGCAATCCTTGATTTTCAAACATCTGATAGGTCAAAAGTTCAAATTAATGATCGGAGTTAGTACCGCGTGACTAATAACGTCATTTCTGCGGGCAAAATAGTGAAATATTGAACCTTGGGCCTTCGGCTTTTGGTCCGATATTTCACTGCATTGCCCTTTGAAATGACGTTATTGTACTATTATTAGTATCTTATTCTTATCAGGACAACATATTGTCTTTCACGTTTCTTTATTGAATACAAAGGTAAAACTATCCTGTACATCTGGCCAAACATATTTAATTCCAGCAACGAATACACTGCAGAAGCCAAATATCTTCCTTTAAAAATGGGCTTTATTTTTGGACTGGGAGAGGCTACCAATGGGACCAGGATATTTATTGCGAAAACTATTCGTCACTGTTTAATTTTTTCTTTTACATTATAAATTGGTACCTCTCTAATGTCCAAGCATTGTTTATGCTAATGTTCATCCAGACTGTTTAACCAAACATGAACATTTTAAATATCAAAAATTCACGGTACGCTACTCTGTTCTCACTGGCTTTGTAAAATACATTAGCGTCCTTCACCACGACAGCAAAGCTACAGGAATTTGTTTTATCAACTGCGTTGTAATATTCTTCGGCATTATCCGGGTCGGATAGTTTGGTCTGGCCAAATTTGACGGAAACGGGATTGGGATGATAAACCAAAAAATGTAGGGAAAACTTTTGCAATTCTTTTAAAGCGTTATCCACGGGTAGTATCTAAAGCCCCGCTATGATTTAGAAGTCGCGAGCAAATACCCGCTGAAATCGCGAGCAATTAAAAGAAAAGAAGGGTTTATCTTTTGTTTACTTAAATTGTATGTTATAAAAAGCGTTTTCATTTAATTTTACTCAATTATTACATGGTATTGATACTAAAAAGCAACTTCTGCAAAAAAAGGATCACGAGCTGATGTTCTGAGTTTTGTTATTCGATAATTGGAGAGAGAATGTATCATCTTGAATCTTTATCTATATATTTCTATATTTTATAGCTGAAGAAGGTCATTGCCCTTCAGTTGAAATGGTCATAGTAATATGAAATGAAGGTATTGTGAGTTTCACTTCCTAAAGTTTCACAAAAAATTATATATTTCAATTTTAGCATATCCCTTGAGGCCCCGCTTCTACCATGAGCAATAAACTAAAGATCCCGCTGAAAACATGAGGAGGCCCCGCTGAAAACATGAGGAGGTCCCGCTGAAATCAGGAGCAAGTGGCTCTCTAAAATGGAGTGAAGACCGATTTGACTTTGCAAATCTG